AAAAAATTTTCTTTTTTTTCTGTATATATTAATTTTAGGTGGAGGAAAATCATTATGTTATCAATTACCAGCAGTAATGGATCCAGGTGTAACATTTGTTATATCACCATTACGTTCACTTATATTTGATCAAAAACAAAAATTAACATCATTAGGTATACTTTGTGGAGCATTAACAAGTGATGTATCACAACGAGAAGCTGATGAAGTTTATCGAGAACTTTATAAACATACACCTGGATTAAAAATTGTTTATATAACACCGGAAAAAATTGCTAAAAGTGTATGAAATGTTTTGTTATTTAGGTATTAGAAAAAAACAAAAAAAAACAAATTTGTTTTTATTTTATAGGATCAATTAACTCAACTATTGAGAAATTTATATGAACGAAAACTTTTATCTAGATTTGTTATTGATGAATGTCATTGTGTATCCGAATGGGGTAAGTATTGTTTTTCAATATTGAAATTTGTAATTTTTTGTTTGTTATTTTTAGGTCATGACTTTCGTCCAGATTATGCAAATCTTGGTAAAATTTTTATTGAAGTTTGAAATATCGAATTCGTTTTCAATTATTTCTAAATTGAACAGAAAATAAACTAGCTGAGAGGCATATGATTTTAAATCTATTTCGTACGTCTTGATTCGTAATAGTGGCACTTGAAAGCATGCATCTAATTTAGAGTGTCTCAAGAGTCACTCTTCATTGTATACTAAATTATCTTTAATTGAGTTTAATTTATGATTCCATAAATCCAACATTATCATTTTATTTTGGCTGTTATGTGAAAGATGCAAACAAGTGACACTTTAGAAAGCCCCTTTCCGATACTTTTGGAGAATGAGTCATTGGAAAATTTTGAAACTTTCAGGATAGATAGATCTCGGTAAATAGAGCAAAAATTGTCATAGACTTAAAACTTCAAATTACGTTCTTCCAGAAAATATCGTGGCCTCTAGAGACTAAAAGTCTTTCAGCTGCAAGATGTCTGATAAAGTTGAAATTTTCTTTTTATCTTCTTTCATTCCAATAAAAACATCAAAATACAGGGCATCTCCCCAAAAATGTGTGCTCTTTTCTGTAAACCTTGGCAAATACTAACGGTACATTATATTTTTAAGCAAAAAAGAAATTAGGCACCTTAAATAGTTTCTTGTGTCAATAGAAGAAAGTTTCAGCTAGATTGGATGTATTGTGATTGAGAAACAGTCCTCTATTTTTTTTTTGTTTTTGTATGAGAAAAACTCATTTTTCAATAGCAGTGAAACGATGTGTTAATTTTGTTCATGAGTTATCTTTTCCAACGTATTCTACAACTTATCATTACTATCATAAATCTTTGAAATATACAATGTAGAAAAGTTCGTTTTTACCTTGAACTATCACATGATATAGAATATCATTTGTAGACCTGTAATATTACATTCATCGTTATAAAAAATAAACAAGACTATTTTTGAAAATTTTCGAATATAAATTAATTGATTTACTTTTGTAGGTCAATTACGTATTAAATATCCAGGTATAAATGTAATTTTATTAACAGCTACAGCAACACCACGTGTTCAAAAAGATGTTTTACAACAAATGCATATTAATATAAATCAATGTAAATTATTTATTCAATCATTTAATCGTTCAAATTTAATCTATGAATGTACATTAAAAGGCACAACAGATACAGCATTAAAAAAAGTAGCTAATTTAATAATTAGTCATTATACTGATAAATGTGGAATTGTTTATTGTTTTTCACGTGCTGAATGTGATAAAACAGGTATTTCAAATCTTTTTATTTTCAATAATAGTTATATTTTGTTTTTTTTTGTTTTAAATATTTTTTAAGCAAAATATTTATCAGCATATAAAATAAAAGCATTACCTTATCATGCTGGATTAAGTGATTCAAAACGACAACTTGTACAAAATCAATGGGCAAATGATGATTGTCAAGTAAAGAGAAATTTCATATATATATATGAAAGATTTGTTTTCTTTTTTCATTAGGTTATTTGTGCAACTATTGCATTTGGAATGGGTATTGATAAACCAAATGTTCGTTTTGTTATTCATCTTTCTATGCCAAAATCTATTGAAGTTTGTTTTAAAATATCTTTAATTTTTTATTTAAGAAAAAAAAGTGTTTTTTTTTTCCTAGGGATATTATCAAGAATCAGGTCGAGCTGGACGTGATGGTGATATATCTTATTGTTATTTATTTTTTTGTTATCAAGATTTAGTTAAAATGAAACGACTTATTCTAAGTAAATTATATTTATTTTGTTTTTTAATATCATTTATTTATTTATTTTAGATGATGATACACAAACATCAACAAAAGAAGCAAAAAAAACTCGTGTTGATAATCTTAATCGTGTTTATGATTATTGTTTAAATAATGTTACTTGTCGACGAACACAGTAAAAAGAAAATTTTAATACAAAAAAAAAAAAAAAAAAAAAAAACTAAATTATTTTAGATTACTTGAATATTTTGGTGAATTATTTCCATCAAGTGAATGTAAACGAATGAAACAAACTGTATGTGATAATTGTCGACAAGTATTAAAAACAACAACAATTAATTGTACACAAATGAGTATTGATATAATTAAAATGATTTCTGAATTTTCACATAAAAATATAACAATACCATATGCTTTGGATATACTTCGTGGTGCAAATACAAAAGGTATTCGTGATGCTGGACATAATAATTTAGCTGCTTATAATTCATGTAATCAATTAAATAAAATTGGTAAGTTAATAGTAGGAAGAGAAAAAAAAAAACATTAGATTTTCGATATAGTTATGAGATCATGTAGTCCGAAGATGAATATGAGAAATAAGTATTAGAATTCAAAATAAGCAGAGCTGAATTTGTCAAATTTTGATACTAATGTTTGAAAGGATCAACAATCAGTAGAACACGTTTTCTTTTCTCTGATAAAATCTCTTTGCACATAAATATAAAACGAAAATCTATCTGTATAAAATTTATTATAAAGATTTGTTTGAATCAAAAAAATTAATTTTGCATTTCAGTGAAGATAAGCCTTAAATGAATATACTATCATATTATAAACAAGTAATTAAATCATTTGAATTGTTTAAGAGTTATTCACATAAACTTTTCGGATGGATTTTTAGGACACTCTATATATACATAAGGGAATTTCGAATTATCGATTTTTTAGAAAAATTTCCATTAGAATGCTTTTTCGTTAAGTCTCTAATATAAAAAAAAACTAAAAATAGCTAAAGTTGATGTTCTGTCGACATTGTTCACAAGACTTTGAGAAATATTTAAAAATATTTGTAAGTTTCTGCGAAAGAAAAAAAAAGCTTCTCTATCTACTTTGTAATCAGAAACGTTGGTCAAGTCCATTGGATTCAAAGCTTTCAAACTCGGATTACATTTTTAGATTAATTTCTATGAATGTATTGTTGAGAAAAAGAGTTTTAGAACAGTCTTTATATTTCATACATTATGATAATAGTAATTTATTCAATGATATTATTATATACACTCAAATATGTATTCTTACGTGAAAATCAATTTAACATTTCTTTTGTAGATCTTGAACGTCTAATATGTCGTTTAATAATTGATGGATATCTTCAACAGGAAATTGTTATACATCAACAACAATCATTTGAAGCTTCAGTAGCTTATTTACGTTTAGGTCCTAAAGCACATATGGCCTTATCAAATCAATCAAATAAATTTATGAATTCAATTGAATTAACTATACGTACAGAACAATCAAATATAACAAATGATGAAAAACGTAAACAACAAACACCAATTGAACAATTACATGAACAATGTTTAAATGAACTTAAAAAAGAACTTAAATTAATATTTGGTAATAATTCACATGCAATGATTATTCCTGAACGTGCTATTAAAGAAATGGTCAAATTAATGCCGTATGTTTGTTTTGTTTGTTTTTTTTTGTTCGATTAAATTAAAAATCTTATTCATTTTATTTTTCGGTTTAGTCGAACGAAAGAGGCGATGATTAAAGATGTTAATGAAATAACTGAAGAACGTTATAAACGTTATGAACTTCATCGTTTATTAGCTATAACACAACGTTTTGGTATTGAACTTGATGAAATTCAACGAAAAGAAGCAATAGCACGTAAAGCATTATTAACAACAACATCAACATCAAAACGAAAATTTATTACAAGTGATGAAGAAGATGATACGAATTTTTCTATAGATCATGATGGTTATATTAAAATAAATAAACAAAAAAATAAAACTAATGGACATTATAATCGATTTGTTAAACAAAAAAAACGATCGGGATCGTTTTTTGCTCGACGTAATGCAATAGCTAAACGAAAACGTGGAGGATTTTAATTTAGATATTCGTATAAAGAAAAAAAAAGAATAGTCAAATTTTATATGTATTTGTTGTTTATTTTCTTATATCGATGAAATTATTTTTCTTAGGAAATTTCTTTTTTTTTTAATAGACAGATTGTAAACTAATAACTATGATATTGATGTGTCAGATAAAAGATTTAGAATAAAAAATAAATTTCTTTTTTTTTTATATGATTTTATGTTTTATATATTAATTATAAATCTTTTAGATTAGATAACCAAATAATGGACTACTGGAATCTTGAGAATACCATAATAATCTGATTCTAAACTTTATAAAAATTTTTTTTTTTTTTTTACAAAATCTGTACCTATGGAAGAAACTTTTTGAGTTTTATATCAAATCATAGAATCTTTTTTAAGTTCAGCTATTTTGTACAGAACTCAAAAAGGTTCTTCTCCTGTGTGCAAGTGTTCGGTAAAAAATTTATTTTTTCAAGGTGTATTTGCTAATTTTTGTTGCTATACAATGATTCATGAATGAGTTTCTTTTTTCCTTTATTTGTATCACCTTTCTTGAGAGTTGTGCAATACAACCCACACTCATTGATAAGTGAATAACTATAAAAACAAGCCTTTTTTTTCTTGCTTTTATATATGTCTACAGCATCATCAAACGGAGGAGGCTTGTAAGTAAAGTTGAGAACAAAAACAAAACTATGAGGAAAGATTTGGGATAATATATGAAGGATAAAAGATTTGACCAATTTAAGTTCAAAAATAATCTCAATTTGATTGATTAAAAAAAATTTTCATTTTCACTGTTAATTATCTTCTTTATAGTCGTCGTGAACCTGGCGATTGGCCTTGTCATCAATGTCAAGAAATAAACTTCAAATCACGTGCTGCTTGTCGTCGTTGTTCGACTCCACGTGTTCAACCAGCACAAACCAATTCAGCTCCTACTGGTATTAATCCTCAAGTTGTACCAAGACAAGGCGATTGGCCCTGCTCGTTTTGTAATAGTCTTAATTTTGCTGCTCGTGTTGCTTGTCATAAATGTGGTCGACAAAAACAAGAGTCCAGAAATTCGAATGCTTCATCATCTGTAACACAAAGAGCAGGCGACTGGATATGTCCATTTTGTCAGAACAATAATTTTGCTGCTCGTATCACGTGTAATAAATGTAATCGACCAAAACAGGAACCTATGGATACCGATAATCGTCCATCAGTAACGTTAAAACCAGGTGATTGGAAATGTTCCTCTTGTCCTGAGATGAATTTTGGTTCGCGTACTGTATGTCGTTCTTGTGGCACAGCTAGACCATCTGTTGAAAATACTAAAAATGAATGCGTTATTTGTATGGAAAATCCTATTGATTCAGTAATAACAACATGTGGTCATTCATCTATGTGTCTTCAATGTGGTATTCATGTTAATCAATGTCCTATATGTCGTAATCCTTTTAATCAACAACAGATTATTAAAATGTTTAATGTTCATTAAGAGACATTGTTTTTCTTTTTAATAAATTTTTTTATCGAATACAAAAAAGAAGCAGAAAATGTTGATTAATTTTATTTTTGTTTTGTTTTTATAGATTAAAATAAAATTAAAATGAAAATTTCTAAAACAAAAAAGAAAACTGAAAAGATAATTCCATCAAATTTAAATGGTATATCAAAATGGATAAAAGAATATCGTGATCGTTTTTCAATTGATATTGATAAACTCAAACAAACATCTCATCAATTTCTTGCTTCTAATAATTTCAAATCTAATGAAAAATCTCAAAATAATAATAATAATAATTTAAATGATAATGATGATGATGATGATGATGATAGTGGTTGGACAGTTGTTTCACGTTCATTAAAAAAAACTCGTCAACGTATGATACCATCAACAGATAAAACATTAAATCGTTTACGAGCAAAACATAAACGTTCAAATCAAAAAAAAGAATTAGTTAATTTTTATAAATTTCAAATGACTGATAAAAAAATTGATCAACTTGAACAATTAAAAGTAAAATTTGAATTAGATAAACAACGTATTATACAAATGAGACAACAACGAAAATTTAAACCTTTTTAAAAAATGTTTGTTTTTTTAATTTTTGTTTTTGTTCTCATTGTTTTGGTTGTTGTTATTGTTTTCTTCTTGAAAAATAAAAGAAAAAGATTTCATTAGTATATCAAATGGCGGCACGAATCTATAAATTTCTTGATCATAATTCTTATTCTTCATCTACATTAATTCGTATAGTTGAATCAAAATATTTTACATTAATTATGCTTGGTGTAATTGTATCAAATACAATTGTAATGATTTTAGAAACATATGATAGTTACCATCAAAAATATCATTCAGTTTTTCTTTTATTGGAAAAGATTTATTTATGTATTTATACTATTGAATGTTGTTTTAAATTATGGGTAGGTAAGAGAGGTACGTTCAGATTTCCAAAAAAGAAAATTACCCACATTTCTGAAATTTCGAAAATTGCATCATTTTAGGAAGTAACGTAAAATTCAGAACGCGAATGCTTGAAATCTCCGAAACTTCTGAAATTTCCTTTTTCGGAAGTCTGAACACTGCTGCTAAAAAGTGGATATCTCGACCAAATCTAAACAAGAACAGAAAACCTTTGGAGGTTACGCTACACTAGTGATCTCCTATATATTAGCAAAATATGGAGGTAAATGGAGTGGACTACTTGGGAATGTTTCCTCGTCAGCTGTCCGAAAAATGTTGTTCTGTTTTGAGAGCGGTGTTTCAGTAACAGAAAAAAGTTTTTTTTTGTATATTCGGGAGTACCTTTCTCAAAAATAGAACAAAAATTATTCGGACAGGTCAGTTTCCAGAATTGAACTGTTTGAACAGATCCGAACTAGAATAGAACTTGTTGGCCTATAATCAAATATTTTATTTAAAAGAAAAATACAATAACGCAATTACTTGAACTTTCACAAATTTTTTTTTTGTAGTACATATTTTTCAACATTAGTAATGATTGTTTAATATCGAACGAGTTTATATTGATTGATTCTATAATAACCATGAACTACTTGTAGAAGAAATTTTGATCGAGAATTACTTCTTGACATTAGTATGGAATCTGTCTGTAGATTACAGCAGTGCTTGTGAAAAATACTTGCGCTAGAATTATAGCACCCATAGATTTATTATTTATTATATCATATATTAATCAAATAATAAAATTTTTATTTTTTAGGTATATTCATGGAGATATTTTAAAATTTTATGGAATTGTTTTGATTTATTTCTTATTATAATTAGTATTGTTGATTTAATAACTCAAGAATTAACATATGATAATACTCAATCATCTTTACAAATTAATCATAATCAACAAATACAGTTAGTTAATTTTATTTCTTTTTTTTTCTATATATTTTTTTCTTCAAAATAAATATTTAGTACACAACTTGAACGATTAAATCATTTCTTAAAAGTTCTTCGTGTTTTACGTGTACTTAGAAGTTTTCGAGCATTACGTGTTCTTCGTACAATACGTTTTATTCAATCAATTCATACAATTGTTAAAACATGTTTTCAAGCATTACCTGCTATGGCTAGTATTACATTTATTATGATTATAATAACATGTATATCAGCAATAATTGCACGTAGTTTATTTGGTGATATATGTCCAGAAAAATTTAATAATCTTATTAAAACATTTTTTTCTCTTTTTACTTTATTAACACTTGATGATTGGTATTCTATATATCAAGTATGTGCTGAACGTGATTATGCAAATTTTCAATTAATTTTTTGTTTAATTTATATATTTATTATCAATTTTATTTTACTTAATCTTCTTATGGCTGTACTTGGTAAATTGAAATTTCTTTATGAAATATTCAATAAGAAAACAAAAAAAAAATTATTATTTTAGTTGATAGTTTTCAACATACACTTGATTATGATACAAAGAAAGATAATCAATTAAAAAATGAAAATAATATTGAAGAACGTATATTAAATAATTTGACACAATTAACAGAAGAGTATTGTTATAATAGAAAATTTAATAAAGAAAAAGATGATATTTCAATAGATGAAAGAATAGAACAACAGAATCAATCAAACAATTTATCGAAAGATTATCAACAAAAACAAAGTTTATTATGTATTGAAAAAATCATGAAAAAATATTACATGTTAATGGAAAGTTTAGAATTTCGAATGGAAAGACATGAACAATTGACTAAATTAGCACAAAAATCAATTAAATTAACATTAATTGATCAAGAAAATCGAAAAGCAACTATGAAGAGATGATTAATACTTTAGTATATAATGAAGATTTACTTTCGTGAGCATGAATAATTGTGCCATAATTATAGATTGCTATACATAGGAACCATTAATTGAAATGAACTTATTCCTAGAATTAGGTTTATTTAATTCACGAAAATTTTCAGAAGACTTATCACTATTTATAGTCTCTTAGCTAACAGCAAATCTATGCAATTTTGAATCTTACAGAAAGAATAGAGAAAAAAAATACTTTACTCAATATTTTACTCGAATACAGTATTGCATAGGTGCAACTTGCCAGCTCATGGATTACGTCACTGTGACAGATTGCTGATAGTTTAAGAGAATGATCAATCAACAATGTGATCAAGAATATCGATATTAAACAACAACATTAAAAACACATATCTTCATGCTTTTTATGAATTGTACGGTTAAAAAATGAAGTTTGTGTCGTCACAAATCATTACTTTTCACACCTGTATCCGACTCGCGGGTGGCAGTATCCTTTACTTGAACAAGTCGTATTCTCGTACTTTCTTCTATTTCATATACATTTTATCTGTACACAAAAAAAAACAATAAATTCAGCCGATAGAGTTACGATTCATATTGATAAAACTTTGAGAGATTTAATAAAGATCTGAAATGGTTGGCTTTAAACTGAGTGAAGAGATTTCGAGAAAAAGTATTCATGGAGATATTTTTGTTGATTTGACTCCAGTTATTGTTGAGAACGATGTATTGATACGAACTAACATTTAGAGTTAATTTGCAATTCGCCAGGTAGTCTTTTGTTTTTTTTAAGACAGATATATGAACATATGATTGACAAGACAGTCTCTTTGGTTATATCTAGCTGTAGCTAACAAATATTTTCCAAGATGATTTATAAGGAATATGATTGAATAAAGTGCTTTCAACTAGGTAAATATTAAATAACTTCTTTCTTAGAAATACATGCTCACACAAACACTTTTGAGTAACCTTACAGTGTGATTAACTAAACAATATAACTAATGCTGAAGTTAAAAACAAAATTCATATTTTCCCTGGTCGATATCAGCGAGAATATAATGTAATATAGATAACTTCTAGCTCTTTCAAAATGTCATTCAATACACTGTTACTATGTCTATAATAGAATTTTTGTCAGCTATTATCGTCGCAATATTGATAGACAAAATAGCTAGCGCTGTGCGATCTACTTAATTTTGCCTTAATAAATGAAGAGATTACGACTTTTTTCTTACATGAAGATGAGAGTGAAAATTCTGTATAGTAAGATAGTATGTTGTATGATCTATTGAGATCTAATCACTTATTTCATTGATTTCATAACAGAGATAATGAACGAGTGAGATCATCTAGCAAATGAATATTTATCAACGTTATAAGGATTCTGTAGAAAATATCATTCTTTTTGAATTATAATGTTCTGTTCGGTTAGATGAATGAAGATGATATGGTAAATGAATGATAATAACACCAGTCAGAATTCTATTTTCTTTATTTCGACATATTGCTATTAGTTAATCAGTTGTTGATAGATCTTAGAACAAATTTATGCTCATGATTATAATCAGAATGTTGTTCGCCTATTTTACTTCAAAAAAGAAATTTAGAAAGTAATTAATCATCCATACATGCTACAAGAAATATGTTTTTGTTAATAACGAATTTGTTGATAATTATAACATTTTTCAAAAATTAAATTTGTCGTTGATGGGTTCATAAGCCGCACAAAATTCATATAAATAACTACTCATCAAGAGATATAAATATCTAGTTTGCTCATACTAGAGGTTCAATATTTACTGGAGTTATTCATTCAAGATCACATATTAAATGAATAACGAAAATTGGAAATCTATTTATGTATTTAGTTGATATAAGTCTAAAGTTCTAGCTTGATCGCTAAAATTATATTCATGTATTTGACTTAATTATTAGAAATTAAATATTTTGCAATGATGCTTTGAATAAAGATAACATACACAATGGATACTAATCACATGAATTTTGTTTGTTTATTCATCCATGTAGGAACAAAACCGTTGACTTTGTAAATTGATCATAGTTATCTAATGAACAAGTCTTATCAAGTGACTTTTGAGAAAATGATAGAATTGGTTACAGTTTTTCTAAATGAAGATATTTAGTGTTTCCTATTGATCAAGTAAACAAACAATTAGACTAAAGCATAATATTTCATTTCATATAAATAATAAAGAAACAATGAAGAATATGTAGGAGACATCAACAAATCTTCTCCTAATGGAAAAAAATTCCATACTTTAACGAGTTTGCTGATCAATAATAAAGTGTCAGAAGAATAATTTAGGGTCATTGAGATTAATCCAGATAGTAGCTGATACATGACATATTTCGATATTGCAAGGATAGTTTCTCAAGCAATTAATGAAAATGAAATCTTTGATTCAAATGTCACACCAATCCTACAAACTATTCGACCATTTTATCCATAATAAAACCAAGTACATTCCCCTTTTTTTTTAAACATCTATGATTAATTCTTCATATCAAGTGACTTGTCAGTAAAACATTGTTCAGCAAGAGTCACGATTTATCGACGTTGTGTAATTTCAATTGGCAGTTTCCTATAAATCTTCTCACGATTCTTGTAGCATACACTAACATTTATGATTTCAGTTTTTGTCTGAATAAAAGAATCAGTTAGTATAATCAATTTTGAAGGTTAAAGATATTGCATTTTGTGACAATATATTCCGTGTCTAGATAACTATTTAGTTTAAAATTTCTCAAAGACAGGATAAATAGATTTCTGAAAAGATAAAATGATAACTGGAAATATATATGTGAATATACTTAATCAAATAAAACAATCAATTAGAGATATATAGAAAATAAACAAGACTAATTTGAATGATAGTACTGAATAGATGAGATAACATTTCGTAATTACTCCGATTAGTTATAATTCTGGTCATAGAGGATACCAATAGGTATCTATATGATAGTTTGAAGGCAAACAAATAAATTCATCTCAGTCTGATTTTTGATTTTCTTGTGAAGATCGTTACACTCTTCAGCGAAGTCATTAATTTCGTTACATGATATTTCATGATGACTCCTAAAATTCTTTTTGCAAATATAGGCATGGCATTCTGTACAATGCCTCACTTCTGCTTGTTTATGATAAGTAGAATATCGATTTGACTTCGCCATTTCTGAGAACGTAATGTCGATAAGTATTGTTCATAAGGATCAAGCAAAGTAAAGACACTACGATAATACATATATATGTTAAAAAATATTACATGATAATATCACAATTATAATGTATCAAAAGGCAGTCGTTCAAAAGAAAATTAGTTTAAGTAAATCTACAGAAACCATCATTTTATACGATATAGAAAGAACAGAGTGAAGCTATTCAAAGTGTATGATGAAGAGAAAATATGGTATAATGAGAGGATACACTAACTATATTGACAATATGCATCTTTGTTTAGTTATACGTAGATAAGATTAGAAGAGAGAGTAGTATTATTTTAATCATTAACGTATTGTTGTTCTATTATATAATTATTCATTTTTGTTTTCTTATTTAATGAATTTTATTAGATTTATGTGTGATTATATGTTTTTAATAGAAAAATTTTTAGTAAATACAAAAACGATAGATAAAGAATCAATACATTCATACGCCTTTATAAGTATCACAAACATCAAAAATTAAATAAAACTTATTAAAAAATTGACTTTATTTATTGATAATTTTTTCTTCTTAAAACAAATGTATTAAACATTTTAAACTAAGAAATAACGATTTGAATAGAACTTTCCTATGTACTTAAATTATATTACATAAGCTAAAATATCTTGTATTTTAAAAATAAAATAGTTCTTGTATTATTGTTATGTTCAGTAATTAATTAGCAATTTTCTTATTTTTGACATCTTTCATATTTTTCTTGGGTTTGTTGGGAGATTTTGGTGGAAAACATAATTCAGATGGATTATCTTTTTTAACAAAGACCAAATTACATGCATCATTGTAAGCCTCACATCCTTCAGGTGCTTCAACTACACCTGCTGAAAAACCAAAACCACAACATTGTAAACCTTGTGTTGAACATTTACATTCAATACAATCTGGTGTAGCTAATTTATATGACGAACCAGGTAATACTTTGATATTATTATATTCACAAAATTGATTAACATTACCAAATTCTAAAGTTTTCAATCAAAACAAATATAGAATATGTTAAGAAAATCAAATAATATACTCGTTCGTTGAGATGTAAGTGGTCCTTGAATACAAAATGAATATACGTGAGATGTAAAAATACTAATCAATAATAATATAACAGTTGAAATATAAAATGCCATGGTGAATCTTGATTTTCCAAGAGAAATCGTACAGAAAAAAGAAAAATCCAAAAGCATATATATATATAGGAATGTAAATGTTTACGCATTGATTGAAGACTGTTGTTGACAGATATTCAATGCCATAGTTAGAGATACACTGTCATATGTTGATATATGTAAATATCAACACTTCAATTGTCTATAATTGAAATGTTTTAAATCATTAGTATTGTGTTCTGATTTATTGAATACGTTATAAGATTTGAAATTTATTAGAATTGTTGTAGAAGTCTATAATTTATTTCTCGTTTATTTTTCTCACAAGGATCTGATAAATGTTTACATTAATTAAAAAAAATTATTACATGTATTAGAATAGCTAATCAATCCATATGAATTTTAATATGAAGCAAATAGAATAAAATGTGGTCGAATTTAAGCATCAAATCAATTTCAAAAAATATGATACAGAAAAAGAACATAACATATGATGCAAAAGTAATGAGATAAATGTTGGACTCTATTTCTTGTCGATAGAAAGGTGCTGAAAGAAAACTTTATTGACTAGAAGATAAAGATATTTCTTTTTCTCTTTCGAATCATATATAACTTATTTTTATCATACGTTCATAAATGCCATGTCGCAAGAGAAACGAGAAGTACCTTCAAAATGGATCTGTACTTTTCATGTAATGTAGAATAACAATGCCGAATATCAACCTCTATATCTCTTTAGTAAGCACGTGTTGGAACAATAATTTTTCTTTTATCAGCTGATAGGAAATTTTCTCCTCTATCGAACTGTATATAACTTAATTTTGTTAGCATTAATTTCCATGATCTAAAATAACATTATAAGCATGAGGAATTATTTTGTATAGCTTTCAGCAATTGTTTTTTCGGCTCTTTTTTTTTTAGCTTTATTGTCCATCTTTGGAGTGTTTCGACGTTTTTTGATACTAATTGATATTCTTTTTCATAAGTTATGACTAATTGTTGATCGATTAACGTTGAAACACTTAGCTAATTTATGCTGATTGATACCACAAAGGTTATTCACAGATTTTATCAGTTGATTTAATTTTTTATTAGAAAGTTTCCCTGGATAACTACTCCTTGGTAAAAATTCGGTTCATCTATATTTCAAATATTTCTTTAATATGTTATAAATCGTTGTTATTGGAATGCCTTACTTTATAAAATAACCAACTGTTGTTTTACACAATTTATTTAATGAATTAATATAAAAACTATAAATTCTTCGTGCAAGTATTTTTCTTTCTTCTCGTATCATTTTGTTTATGAATGTAAAAAACAAAATTAGGTTATATACAATTCGCAAGAGGACAAAGATTCGTTATCTTCTTGTAAAAAAAGCTTTCTTTCAGCATCTTTCTATCGAAAACAAATAGGGTTCGACATTTGTCCTATTACTTTTACATCATACATTAGTTCAAACAGGATTTTTATTTTTTTATGTGTTTAAAATAAACGAAAGAAAAATGTTACAAGATATTGAACATTGTGTAACTCTTCGACATATCTTCACATTGTAAGAAAATCAAAATAAAATGAGGAACAGTAAAACTAATGAAAAATGTGCAATAATTATTTGATTTTACAGCCAACAGTCACTTATTAGGAGATATAGTTATATGAATAATGTTTCCAATAGCAAGTTTAGATGATAGTACTACTATCAACTAAACATAATCAATAATTTATTCATGTAGAACGAGTACATGTACAAAATGACCATTAGTTGCCGTATATTGACGTATTACATGGCTCAGTATTACGATCGTATTTCTTCGTATACGATACGAAGAAATACGACCATTTATGGACATAAACGTCACCGCCTACGAAAATTGTATACGACTTTCTTTTTATTACTCAGTATCTCGCGATAAATGGTCGTATTTCTCCACATACGATACAGTGACATGTGCTCGTAATACTGCAGAATAAAATACACTAAAGGACGATCGTATATGGATGTTGTTTTCTTCATCCTAAGTATGTTTGTTAAATAAACTGTTGCTTATCAGAGACCTGATAGGTTGGATTTCGAACCGAACTGAAGTAAAGTTAGTTTGGTTTGAACTTTCTTTTTTAAAAAATTCGGTCGTTTCGATTACGAATAGATCTTATCGTTAGTGTTTATTTTCTTGTCAACACGTCAGATAATAAAATTAGTACATGTTAGTTTGGTAAGTATCCGTTTATAATGTCCATTAAAGAAAATTTTTTTTTTTTTTTTTATAATGGGAAAAATTGATTTTTGTGCACTTTTATGACGAAAGGAAAGTGTAAATATATACGTTGTTCGTATAGGCAAAGTGTACGAAAACATTTTGACTGAGATTTCTATTTGAAAGTATTAGTAATTAGAGTATGAGTTAAGTAAATTTTTTTTATTAATATAATCTTTCAACTAATGTAATTTTCAACGTTAACTTTTAACATTTTGCTAAACATTTCCTTCTATTGTCAATGTATATAGGTCTTACAGAAAATTCTCATCATTATTTATGATTGATGGCGACGTCTGTTGATTAAATTCCGTATTGATTGTTATCTTTTTATAACTAAAAAGATAACCTTCTTCTTCTCTGTCTATCTATCCTTGATATAACACAAACTGACTACTTTTCGAGCTTGTTTATTATTTTTTTGATACATGAAATATTCAATCATTTGTGATCGTTTAGATAATTATATATATACATATATCCTTGTTTTATATTATCATCTTGTTTTAATCATTAAAAAGAAAGGACGAATCATGTTTATACGTGTCGCTGATGAATCAAAGTCCAACAATGAAATAGTTGAAATTCCAGTTGATGGTGGTATGGATGGTTCAGTTTCATTGAGTACACTCGCTGCTCAATTTCAAGGTGTGAGTGCATTAAAATATCGGAATTCTGAGACGAGTGTGTGGAGAGGGTGAGTGAACGTGTTTGTTCTTTGTTATATTTATAAAATATATTTTATGTGTGTTGAGTGAAATGTGTGGTGGTTATACTCCTCCCCCTTTCCATTTTGCGCTTGATTTTTTTTCTTTGTCTGAAAAAATCAATTATTAGTTTTTGTTTTTATTTTCTAAGTGTTCGAGTAGCAGACGGAAAACTTTATCATCCAGATGGTGTTTGGGATCGAGATACGATTTATGTTACAGTTTATTCAAAACGTAAGTTAATAAATTTTGAAACAAAAGAAAAAACAATCGAAAGATTAATTATTGTTTAAATAGCTGTTTTATCAGATATTAAACGAAAAGGTGTTGGTGAACAACAAGAAGAATCAACAATATCATCATTGGGACAAGCTAAAACTCAAAGACTTGATTATGGACAAGAAACAAATAATGAAAGTGAAAATGAACCAGATCATCGTTGTGTTGATTTAATTGTACTTGGAATAAGTTATCGAAGTCTTGAAGCTGATGTTAAAAAATGTTTTGAAGTATTTGGTGAACTTGTATTTTGTGAGGTAGAAAAAAAGATCTAAAAATTAAAAAAAAAAAACTTTAATTTTTTGTTTTCTTTTTTTTTGAAAAAAAAAGATTAAACGTGATGCAAACGGACAATCACGTGGATTTGGTTTTATTCGATTTAAAAATTATGAATCACAATTAGCTGTTATTAATAAACGACATTTTATTGATGGACGACATGTTGATGTTAAAATTCCTGATTCAAAAGTAAGTATAAAGTATTCATTATGAAATTTAATATTAATATATTATTTTTTATATTATTTTCATTTATTAAAAAAATAAAATTCTATTTTAAATTTTGTTTTCTTTTTAGACAAGTGCACATGAACCTGAATATGCTCGAAAAATTTTCGTTGCTCGTTTACCTGATAATGTAGTACCGGATGATTTACGACAATATTTTTCAAAATATGGACCAATTAAAGATGTTTATATACCAAAACCAGCACGTTCATTTGCATTTGTTACATTTCATGATTCAAATATTGTACGAACATTATTTGGTACACATATTATTCATGGTAAATTATCATAATTAAATTCATTTTCAATGTTCTGTTTCTCTCTCTCTCTCTCTCTTATTTAGGTTGTAGTGTAACAGTCGGACCAGCTGAACCAAAAAATAAATTATCTGCAATTGGTGATTATCCTTCATCAACATTTAAACGAGCTAAACCAGATCATAGTAGTTTACGTACATTAACAACTTATGGTACATCACCAGCTCATTCACATTATCATCAACAATATGGTCAAACAGCAAATACAGATATGATGCAAAGATTTTTTCAACAATATGGTACAACAACAGCAACAACAAATTCATCTAAAGGACAATTTTCTAATGCTCAACAATCCTATTGGAGTAGTGCACATGAAGAAGCAGCTGCTGTTTGGCAACAACATTATCGATAGAAAATTTACTGTTTTTTCTTTTCTCGACTTTCACACATGTTTCTTTTTGTTCTTTTGTTTCATGCACTTCAGTTATTGTCACGTTTTTAAATGTGTATGTGTCTGTACAGAGAGAAGACATTTCAAGGAAAAAAAAATAATAACTAACAAGAAAACAAAAGAAAAATTTAAATCCATCATCCCGTTTTCAAAGACCAAGATTTATTTTCTTGTTTACGTTCAGTTATAACCGTTTGTAAATAAGAAATATCTAATGAAACTGTATATAAATCATTAACATTAGGTTCTTTTCCAAGTAAATCCCATGTTAATGTTTCTGGAGATGTTGCATGAGCAATAATAAGAATATTCATTGATTCTAATGATGAATTATTATGAAGTTTTTCAATTCCACGTATAACATATTTTGAACGAAGATAATATGTATTTTCATGTTCATATGGAGGAACAGTTGTTATTATAGGTTGATATGATGAATCAACATAAATACCATTTTTAATCCAATCGTTTGGTTGAAAAAAAACACTCATACCATATCTTGCAGCACCTATTTCTAATAAACCAGGTTCAATACGAATTGGTATTCTATTTTCTAATCCAAGACCTTTTAAAATTTGAATTGTTGTAAATATACAACGCATAGCTGGTGATGAATAAACATAATGTGGTTTAAAATTTTTTGACGCTAATGTTTGACCAAGTTTTTTTGCTGCATTTAAACCAGATAATGTTAATGGTGTATCAAGTGCCCAAAATAATTTATTTGATCGAAGAGGTAAACTTGGAGGAAAATTTCGATGATAAGGATGAAATTGATTTTGTTGATCAAATGCTAACATATACCAATTAGATCCAAAATAACGATCAACTCGTTCACCATGTCTAATAATAAAAAATCGCATATCACATTGTTGATCGACAGGTTTAATTGGTGTTTGTTGTTGATAATATTTATCTTGTTCATTATAAGCTGATGAAGCACGAATACGAGTTATTGGCATGAAATAACGAAATAATTTTGTTTTTTTTGATGATTTTTTTGGTTCATCTGATGATTGTTTTGGTTTACTTGACGATTGTTTTGCTTTATTTGATGATTGTTTTAATAAATTTAAAGAATTATCATTATTATTAATCGTTGATGTTTCTACATTACCAGGTATTGGTAATGACAATAGAAGATGAAGTTTATGTGGTGTATAGTCTGATAGAGAATCAACACCTACTGGTAACCAACCATCATCATCATCATCTTTTTTTGTCGCAGTCATTGTCGATGTATTAGTGATTATGTCATATGAATAATATTGACTTTTTTTTTTAAACTAGTCGTATTACGTTTTTCTTATTCTATCATGTATATACCTAAAAACACCTGTGTAGTGTCAAAACACGCCTACGATTTCTTCTCTCTAATTTTGAGAGAATAAACACTATTTGTATAAAATTCAAGGTTATCTTTTTTCTCTATTTTTTTTCATGGGCATATACAATAGATATATGTGTTGTATATACAAACATATGTCGTCGTGCATGACAGTTTATCATAGGATTCTTGACATTTTTTTATTATTATTTTATTTGAATGTTTAAAACATAGTTTTATTTTACAAAATTTTAAACAAAATGCATAATAGAATGTATATACCAATTATGATTGATTGCATCATGTTCAAGAATAATTGTATTTAAGTATGGAGCATTAGCACATTGATCAGTAAATCTTTTTTTTTGTATTAAAATGTTTTCATAATACACTAGTAAAAAATATTTGTGTTGATGATACATGACCAACAATAAGTATATTTGTATGTCATCTTGGGATAGATCTATTGTAAGCTGGAGATAATGTTTTACCATGATGACGTTCAATTGATTAAAAACACTGTTGATTTTGATGATAATAATCTATTTCAGTTTCATATGGATTTAAATAATTATTAAGACCTTGATAGTGTCGATCAATATTATAACCTGTTTGTTTCTAATCACCTGTTGACATAAACGGATTCATTTGATCAAGTAATAATAATGCTGAATTCCAATGCATTAGTTCAAATGAATAAGGTTTAAGATGAATTGACATATAATTATGATTCATATCTTTTAATATTGCATTTACTGTGAGAATACTATATGTTGAAAGTGATGAGTAACAATAATCAGCTATTGCATCTAGTTGTGCTAATTATTATCCTTTATGATAAGGTTGTTATGCACCTGTACATGATATTTAGTGGATCAAATCCACAAAGTAAAGCATTTGAACGACATGGTAATTGATATGATATAATGATGGATGTTTATAAGCTTGTGAAGATGCTGATGGAACACCATCAAATACTTTATCATACTAATTACAATTAAGACTTTGATCAATACGTTCAGCATGACGGAGGTCATAATTATGATCTGCTCTATAAACTAAATTTATTTGATCATATTTTTTTACTATTTTCGTTTTTTTTTTTTGTAATAATTTTTATGATTATTTATATAAACAGGAAAAAAAAGAGTAAGATCATGAAACTATATATAAAGATGAGCGATCATGCATGTTAAACAACAGGAATATGATCAGTGTAAATGTTGATTATTATAATCATGACAATGACTAACTAAAAAAATGAAAAGACTATCGCAATTAAATTTACATAATATATTTCTGACAAAAGTAATTAATGAAAAACTAGACGATAAGATTTTTTTTTTTGATCATGTCTGTTATTTATGATTGTATAATGTAAGAAAAAATGTAGAATTCAATGATGCGTATCGTTTAATTATTTGGTTGGTATGTACATAAAAAACGATGTTTTCTGTTTTATGGTGAGATTTTTTTTTTTCTATATTGATAAGGCCATGATTAAATGAGTGTCACTAAATAGACAGAAAAACAAAACGCAATATATCATAAATTGTTTTGTTCTGTCTAAACAAATCATAATCAAATGAAATTATAGCTGTAATAACAAAAAAAGAAAAAGGTATTATTTTATTTTCTAAGACTTCCTATTTGAATACACAAATCTATATAACATTCCTATTTCCCATATTTAATATGTATATATAATAAAATTCTGTTTAAATAAAGAAAGAAATGTTTTTTGAAAAATTTAATACTCTTCAAAGAACAGACAAAAATACTTATCAATTGACATTAAAGAGTAAATATTAAATGAGAACTATAAATAAAATCAAAGAATGATATGTTAAAAAGTTTTTTTTCATTATATTTATAAAAGAATTTTCTCTTCATTAAAATTGTAGTCATACCTTGATCTCGCATGTTTCACTAAAAATTAGTTGCACAGTATGTCTTTCATCATAGTTTCCTTTTCTTTTTAAATTAATTCTAGAAAAGTTATTTTTTTTTCTTTATGAAGATTTATTTTTGACAAAAAATATAGACACAACACAAAACTACACATATATAATCTCTTAGTCTTAAGAATTTGGAGATCGCTTAATTTAAATTATATGATTACTAAATGGGCATCGACCACTAATAATTGATGTTGGTTTATTAATAATATCCAAAAGTGATGATCGTCGTACTGGTTTAATATAATCATCAGATGTAGGATCAAAATTTATACGACTAGTATTTTCAAACATAGATGCTTGTGGAAAATTAGGTCTTGTATATTCTTCATCAAGTTCATCAAATGAAGCTTGATAAAGAGCAGATATATAAGCTGCTGTTGAACCAATTAACCAATATGTTTCATATGAACCTTTACCCTAAAAATTTTATTTTTAATTAAAAAGAAAACAAACATATGTTTTTTGTTGAAAAACTTTTTTTACTTTTAATTCTATTTTTCCTCTATATTGTAGGTGAAAATATATTGAATCTTTTAAAAGTGCATATGATGTACTACTTAAATGAATTCTACCTGACTAAAAATATAAACAAAATTAAATGTTTATTATTATAATCATAAATTTACTTCTCCTGTTGTTGTTATTCGACTAGCCTTAAATAGAGAAGAAGAAGAAGAATAAAGAAAAACAATAAGATAAAAAAAAAATATTTTGAATACTCAATTATAAACTTTTATATCTTACTGTATTGATTGTATCACCAAATAAACAATATTGAAAATTTTTTGCACCTACTATTCCACCGACAGCTGGACCAGAATGAAAACCTATTGAGAAAAAATAAGGACATTTTTTTCCATAACAATGAATATAAATAAACAGGAAGAAAAATTTTTCTACCGAATTGCACTCGAAACGGTTGTTTTGTAACAGGATTTATAACTTTTGTTGAACTTTTCATTAATTCAAGTGCAAGACCAGCAATAATTTCTGCTTGATTAAGACCTAATGGATTTTTCATTGTAGATTCTAAATCATCAATCATTGAAACACTATACATAGATGAATAACTCTATTTAAACAAAAAGAAAATATATTAATTAATATTTCAATGGTAAAAAATTATACTCCAGTAGATTCACGTCGTTGGAATTGTACTGAACGATCTTTTATACCAGCTACAACCATATATGATGAATCAGCTTTTGTTTCAACTTTAAATACATCAAAATGTTCTGCACAACGATCAAATGCAATAACTGTTGCATTGATTGATTCAACAATTTGTTGTGGAGTTAATTTTTGTACAATATCTTTAAAATCAATTGAATATCCAAATAGAACGGTTATTAATTTATGAGACTAAAATAAATGAATTCTCTTTTCTTTTTTTCTTTGTTTTTCTTTGTTATCTTTACTTCACATATTGAATTAGCTACAACACCATCTTGTAACATATGTGCAACATGTCTTGGCATCATTGAATATAAAAGACGTTTGCTTTTTCGACGCCATTCTTGTAATTCTAATTTTGAACTTTGTAATTTTGTTATCCATACATGTTGTTTATCTATAGCTGCTTGTAATGTTCGAGCATGTTGCATACCAGCAATAAGAATTTCACTACTACCATCATAAAAATGTAAATCATGTAAAACTAAACCAACAGAAAGCATATCTTCTGTTGTTGCTAATCTAAATTAAGAAAATTAATTTATAAGAAAATTATATATATTTTATATTGAAATATACATTGGATGACAAAGAAAAGCAATCATATTCCAAGCTGTTATTAATTTCATTTGTCCTTTAAGACGTATTAGAGTATTATCTGAACCGAATTTTTGTGCAAATATTGATAAATTTGTACGAAGTGGAATTATACTTTCAATAACAAATACAATATGTCGACCGTATGACAGTACCTAAGGAAAATATTTCCATAATTAAAATGTTTTTTGTTTTTGTTTTTTTTTATGCAGAAAACATCGAAAAAAACAAACTTTGGTCCATTCAAGTGGTATATCTGGTCGAACAAGACGAAACACATCATTCAGACAACGTCCAATTAACACTGTATCAGCTGAAAAAATATTTCTTATTGAATCGCCCATATAAAATATGCGCATATGTGGATCAAGTAAAATAGCAAATGGAAATACCTAAAAGAGAACAAAAGTAGATCATTTGATCTTGCAAAGCAATTTATGAATATATCGACCTCAATAAGCCGAAGACATTATTTAGAAAAGTCTTAGCTTTATTACTTGCACATATATTTTCTTTTTTTTTTTTTGTTTCTCGAATGATCTCTTGTAGATAAAAGAACGCTGAATGTTTTTTTTCTCTTACTTTAAAAAATGTTGCACTTGTTAGATCGGGAAATTTTGGACCTTGCATAAGACGTCTCTGTGTTGAACGGGCTATAAAATTATTAAAATTCACACGAAAAATAATATAAGTATCTAAATAAATAAATTTCTTTATTGTTTCATTTTCAATAAATGTAAAATTCTTACATTCATTTGTTGATATATCATCTTGAATACGAACAGATATTTCTTCTTGAAAAAATCTTAATGCACATTCTTTTAATTGTCCAACAATATATCGTTGAAAACCACGACGTTTTGATCTTAAAAATAAACAAAAACAAAGTATACTTTTCTTCTTTATTAAAAAAATATGTTGTTTTTGGATATTACTTATAATGTAAAATAGCACCATTATCATCTTCGTCAGTAACATGAAATAATGGTGATTTCATTTTTGGAAAACTAAATCGAGTTGAATCATGTAATTGATCAATTGAATGAAGAAAATCTCGAAAATGTCTTCCAGCAACACGTAAAATTTTATCATAACCATAATTTGTAAAAAATTTTACAAAACTTTCACCAAAAAATTGCATATATAAATCGGGTTCACCTTCATGTAAGATGTCCGATAAAGCTAAAATAAATTTATTTCAATATATTTGTATATATATATATATATATATATTATCCTACTCTGAGCAATTCTTTCAATTAATGATTCATCATAACGGCCAAGTGTCGTAAATGATTCATGTTCAAAATTCATTTCCTGTACTATCCTTTTCCATGTTTCGTGCCCATATACTTCACGGACTCCATAACGAACACTCTCAAGCAGAATACCGTAGATCATCTTTGAGTTTTACTTTTTAATTTTTATGTGCATTCATTAAAGGTTTCTTTATATATATGCCTATATATCTATATAACTATATTTAGATATACAAATATATAGATGTAGATATAAATGACAAGAAGACGAATGAGTGCATTATTATTCTAATAATCTTTCTCTCTCATTAATATAGCTCATTAGATAGTCATTTTCTCTACGAGTTATTTAAAACATTTGATTTAGAGAAAAAAAAAATGACGGCTTAATTAAAATCATCAAAGAATAACTAATGAATATGAATTCATACCTTCAGCAATACCGACCATCAGATTATCATCATAGAGCTCGAAGAGATGTATATTAGTTAAACCATGTTGTAAATAGTCTTCAACTTGTTTCAAAAGAATTTTATTATATTTTTCAAGAATAAAGTTATGAATAACGCTTTCTAATAGAATACCGTAAACCATAACTTGATGAAAGTAATACTTTCTTTTCTGGTTGTTTATAGACGAGAAAAAAAATGAAGAAGGAAAAATTAATTAATTTCTTTTTCTGTAACAACAAGGATTCATTGTTAGTGACAGCTTTTTATCTTTCTTCATCACAATTTTGTAGAGAATCCTGGATGCCATGATGCATATGAATTCGATAGCAAATTCTTTTATTTATATATGGCAAAGAACAGAAGAGCGGAATTATCGATATGAATGTATTGAAAGAAAAAAAAAAAAAGAAAAATTCTTTTAATAAGTTGTTTTTCTTTCTATTTCGTTATAAATATTTATTTATTTATGTCTTTAAATAAAATGCCATTCAACATTGGTTTCACCAGTACCAAGTTCACCATTAACAGCAAGAAATGCTTCTTCTGTCAAACCAAGATCACCTAAGAAAAGAATAACATAAAAGCAAGAATATAATTAAATCCAATCAAGTGTTTTTTTTTCTTTTACCTTCTTTACATTCAGGACATCGATCAACAAATCGAACAATTATTTCACCTTGTGGACCTTTTACTAAAGCTTTCTTTTGACAAATTGGATTGTTACTTGGAATACCATCAACAGTATATGGATCGAATTGTGCTTGATTAAGAGCAGCTGTATAAATTATTTCATCATCTTCATTCAATGAACGTGCTCGTTCAGTACCACATGTTGAATAGTCCGAACTAACTTTAGTTTCATTATAATATGTTGCTTGACCTTGAAATTCACCTTCAATTGATGCTGGCGTAATATTATTTAATAATTTTCGTGATACACAAGAAGCACCAACTGCACCACAACTATATACATTAGAATTGTATTATAAAAAAGAAAAAAGAAATAAATTACATACTATCCATGTTGTGTACAACAGAGATTACTAGCACATGCTGTATAAGCACAATTGCCATAAGATATAGTACCACAATAAGCGGCTGTATTTCCACAACTACAGATAATAAAACAATGTACAAATAAAAATTTCTCTTGTATAAAAAAAAAAAAATTTCATACTATCCATATGGTGAACAGCATGAACCAGCTGAACAGCCAGTTACTCGGCAGTTACCAATTGCTGGATTAGGTACAAGAATACCACCGCAATGTTCAGCTGTTGTACCACAACTAATTTATCAAAAGTCATGTATTTCAAATAACTTATTTAAATAATATGCAATACGTACTATCCAAAACGTGAACAGCAACCACCGCTTGGACAACCTACTACACGACAATCACGGGTAGCATATACTCCTCCAGTTGTACCACAAAATTGGACACCTGTGCCACAATAACCAAATGAAGAACAGCAGCGGCCAGCACCACATGATGAACCAATCAAGCAGTTACTAGCTAGAAAACATAATAACTACGTAGTTGTTTGTTATTAAAAACTTTTTTTTTCTTGTCCAACTTACCAACACTATTCACAAATGAGAATAGTAGTAAGATAACAGCAATCATAATCACGTATTGTTATGTATGAAGTCCGAATGTAAAAGTAAAACTGAAGTTTATTAATATAAAAATAAACGATATTTTAAACTTTCTTGACGCTTATATAGACCTGTAATCTATAAACAAATATTCGCGGTTTGAGATTTATTTAAAAAGAAAAACAGATCCTTGAGGTTTAGATAGTGTATGACATTTTTTGTTCTGAATATTAAAAAAATACGAGTAATCTAGTATAAGGTTAACATGTATTTGACATCAGTGTGGGCCTGACTTTATTGTATTTAAACTAAAAAAAGTATTGTTTATAACGACAGAAAATAACAACAAAATACAGTTTGAAAATGTCAACGAATGTGTCTAATCCAAATTCTTGTAACAGTCTAAACTTTATTTACAACGTAGATTAAAATACCAACGTGCCTTTGTAATCAATAATTGACTAAGAACAATTCCATGATAGAGCAATTCGTTCGAGTTAAGTTTAAATTAACCTTTTATTTCAATACATAGAACGATCATGAATTTCAATAAAATTTTTTTTTTTTCGATAAATGAGTATGAATTAAGTGAAAGAATACTTTATTTTTGCATATTTGATTATGATGAATAGAAAATATTTTCAATTTTAAATCTTTTAAAATTCTATTGAAATTTGAATATGAATAAAAAACAAAATGAATGATAGAAATAAATTTATTTGATTTATTCATCATCACATAAACAATTTTCAATATCGTCTAATGATAAAGATGAATCTTTTATAGATGAATAAAGTGCTTTGAGTAATTGTTCACTTTTTGGACCAGCTAAAAACACACCACGACGTATTCCTGCTGCATCATAACATTTCAATGGTGCCCATTGAAGAAGACGTCTTTGAATAGATCAAAGATTTTCATTAGACAAAAGAAAATTTATATAATTGATACAACTTACGTTATAGCTCGACATTCTGGACAATTATCTGAACGTGATGTAAATGCACTATTTGTTGTTTGAAGCGGCGAAATACTAGAAGATAAAACATCATTTTGAGTGGAAATATTCAACATAGGATTGGTAGATGATAATAATGATGATGGTTGTTGTTGTTGTTGTGATAATAATGCTGTATTCCCTGTACTTGTTGTTGATACTGGAACTTGTTGATATGATGAAGATTGATCACTAAGTGGATTGTTAATACGTCGATGTAAAGGAGTATTATTATCATGAATAATAGAAGGTAGTTGATGCTGTTGTTGTTGCATTGGCATTTGTGAAGAAGAATGAGGATGATGTAATGAAGAAATAGTTGGAGGTGGAGGTAAAGGCATAGTTGGAGTAAATGTTGGTGATGGTAGTATACGACCATTACTAGTAGTTGTAATTGGAGCCGGTGAAGGTAATGAACGAATATAAGGCTGCTGTGTTGATGGTTGAATTCCCATTGATGTTGAATCGATTTGATTCGAAGGATAAGATGAAACAGTTGGATTTGTTACGTTCAAAACTGGATGTGAAGGTATTTGATGATGACTACAAGAGAACATGCAAGAGAAAATTTATCTTCAAAACAAATAAAAATTTTCCAGTAGTAGAAGTATTGATGAAGAAAAATTCTGTCAAAATTCTTACTAATGTCGTCGATTTTGAAGATCAGCTGATCGACGTTCTGGAAATAATGTGTAGATAATAGAATAATTATTTATTTAAGAAATTGTTTGACTTACTATGTGAACTTCGTCGACGACTTCGACTACGACCTAATGAACGAAATAAATAGATTTTAATTAATTTTTTTTTCTATAATTTCTTCACGTTGACTTGAACGAGATTGTCGACTTCTTCTTTGACTTGATCGATTTCCTATATGATAAATAATTCAATACGAAGAAATACTTCATGATGTCCACTTACTACGTCCATGACTTTGTGATCGTCGATGTTTACTTCTTGAACTTTGTGAATAACGAGATGATCGACGACTTGAACGTGAACTACGGTCACGTGATTGACTTGCTAAGCCAAAATTATATCATTTCTCAAGTTTGCTTGATTTTATTCCTTGATTACCTCGTCCATGAGTTGATCGTTGACTTCGATGAGACATACGAGATCTTCTAGATCCACTACGACTTGCTATGATATAGATAAAATAAAATAATAGAAAAATGAAAAACATATACATCGACTAGCTCGACTGATGTTCGTCGAATGACGGTCATAACTTCTCAACATTCGTTTATGATTTTTCTTGATATGATTATGATGTGGAAATCCTATTACATAAACAAACAAAACCTATTTAATATACGATTATTTCATTAATCATCAATTGAATTATACTCTGTATTGTCTTGCTAACGTATTCTCCTACATACAACTCACGTTTATTATGATCATGATCTTTTCGATATTGTCTTTCGTTTCTGACAAAATCATTTTCATGTAATACAGTAGGTCCATCAGCACAAGTTGTTGTTATACGAATAGGATGATACAATACACATTCACCATAAGATTGTCCAGATTGTAATGATGATCCAATTGTTGTTGAATCCATCATTATATTTTCATCATAATTAGTTAGATGAGGAGCAATGAATTTGTTTACTCTTTTTCGATCAAATCGTTTTGAATCTAAATGTGTATTCATTATAGATGTATGACCACACATGCCTGTCTGATTAATATGATTGATAAGTTGTGAAAGATTACAAAGAGCTTGAACAAGATTTTCGCTATCATTGATTGACATTGAACTTTGTTGTTGACTTGATAAATCAATTGCATTATAAAGTTCTTGAAGTGCATGTAAAGCCGATTCAGCTGTGCGTTGAATCGACATAATTCGAAATGAATTTTAATCGTATTAATTAATAAAAGAAAAAAAACAACACTAATCGACGTACTTCAATGATTAACAAAATTTACAAAAATCTATTATTTATTTTATACTTTTTTTTTTTTCGATGAAATTTTTTCTACGAGGCGCGAATTACTTTCGATATTCTACGACTTGCAAAAATAAGAATAGGAAATTTTTTTTTCTTGAATATTACTATTAAAAGTATATATTGTTTGTAGTTTTTCAGAAATATTTTTTTTTATTTATTATTTGTATGATTAAATAGAATATCTAATTCATAATTCAAATAAGTACACAATTTGTTCAATAAGATAGTATGTGTATATAATTTAAGTAGTGAACAAGATTGCCAAACCGATATTTTCGAAATTTGGAGATGTCCTCAAATAAATCAGAAGTTTTTTTTTTAAATCATGAGAAAAACCAGAAGATTCTTTCGAAAATAGAAATCATTCAGTGGCATTTTCTAGAGAAAAGCTTGAATTTTCATTTGCAGAAGCGCTTGTTACTTCCTTCTAATAAAGCAATTATAGTAAGTTTGCTGAAAAGTCACATTAAAATAAAGAAATATGATCACACGTATTTTACATATATTATTAATCTTTTCGTATAGGCTCATGAAATTATACAAACAAAATAAACATATAGAAAAAAATCAACTATTTACCATACAGTACGTCGTACTTTTACAACATGAGAGTATTTTTCTGATGACTGGATTTGTTACAACAAATTCGATTTATGTAAGAGATATTAATAAAATTCTATACAATTGAACTAAGTCTTCATCTTAATTCTTAATTCAGCGTAAATATGATCATTTTTTCATTTTATTTTGATTATTATTTCACAAAAATTTCACGTAACTCAAAATAGATTCACAATAGGCGTTTAAGATCGGTATAGAAAAAAAAAGCAAATTGAACTAATTTTGGTAAATGAGGTACATTTTCACCATTAAGAAGATCAGCCCCCAACTGGTCGCATCTAGTTAATGGATGCTTCTTCTGTTTCGCGTGGGATCTAACATCACATCGCGATATAAGATCATTTTTCTTGTTGGTTAAACATGTTACTAAGAGTCGGGATGAAGAAAAAATAAAAACCCGTAGAAAATCTTAGAAAACAGATCTTGATATCAAGAGTTTTTTTCATTAGGAGAAAGCCTTAAAAACCAGCATTCTCCTAGATAAATCAGAAAGTTTGATAACCCTCGTAATAAAATACTTTTAAAACTTCCAATTGATAACACGAAGGTAGTACTTCCTAATAATTTTTAATTAAAAATCAATCATCGAAGTATAATTATTAGTTGTTTCATGGTTTGTAGTAAAGCATAATGTATTGGAACGAAAAAAAAATGAAAGAGTCAACAAAATTGTCAATGAAAAAGAAGACAAAAAAATTAGAAATTAATTGAAAATTATTTAAATAGGTCGGCCAAAATCAGTATATCAGGTCGAGATAAATAGAACGAAAATGTGTTCGTTTATTCGGAGTATTTTTTAAAACGCGCATTGTGAACAAACGAGTTTGCCTACTGCTGTGCAGCACGTTCAAGGCTTTTTTCCAAAGTCTCTTCGAGTGATCACACGCGTTTTCGTTCTGTTCGTCTCGACCTGGGTATATAAACTGTAGAAAAAGGATGAAAATGATTAATTTTTTAGTATCGATGGATACATTGAGAGCCAGTAAAATAATTTCATTTTCTAGATATTTTTCTACGTATAGATCTAATCGAAATATTCTAATTTTATTTACAATTGGTACCAGAACATTTCATAGAAAAGTCATATTAATTAATGTTCAGTAATCTTGCACACTATCATTTTTTATTCATAATATTAATAAATAGACGAAGTCATATCTTGCTCTACTAATAGAAAAATTAACAACACTTTCAACACATTTGATTTGCAAATTACACATTTCTATTTTGGTATGATTTTCATATAACTTGATAATTATGATTCAACAGTTTTTCTTTTTGTTTATGTTCTTTTTTCTAGCATAATACAAAAAAAATAATTATAGATCACAAATAACTTTTTCACATATTTCTATATTAAAAACATGATGAAGATGTTGTTAATTTTTAAGATAGACTAAAAGCTAAATATTCTAAATTTTCTCAGTCTTGATAATTACCTAATAAATCTATCAATAGATCTATCTATACACATTATTTTTTTTTCTTAAATGAATAAATAGAATTCATAGGAAAAAGATTTCATCCCTCTATATTTCATATTTTTCTTTACATATATTTTTATGTCAAAGACACATATGTGTCATTAGATTATTCTATCAATGTCAATAATAATAATTTCATTCAATTACGCAAAAAGATAATGATAATGATCATGCTATTTTTTTTCCTAGGAAGAATTTTTTTTACCTTCAAAATACATGTATTTTTATGCCTAATTACTTGGAAATGATTGACTTCGAAGATTTATTACAGTATTTTTCTTGTCCTGAATAATGAGAAAAACAATATAGTAGTATTTCAGTAAATACTAACCAACTGCAAGAGTTTTATTTACATAGAATAGTTTGCAGTGCCCAAACCTCATAATGTATATATAAATGCTATCTTGTGTATTGTTTTCTTCCTTCTGTCTGCCCTACTTTTCTTTTTCTTGTATGCATAATGGTATTTATTCTTGATACCTCGACTCTAGTTGTTGTTCCTTGACATTAGTTTGATACAAAACATGGTACATGAAATGGATAAAAAGTCTAATTATTTTTTACCAAAGAAAAAAATTAAGAAATTCAATTCATTTCCTCAATGTAAATTACGAAATATATTTGATAATTGTTCGATACCAATTATGAAAAAAACTCCTATTCCATCATCATCGGGAATATTACAACATGATTCTAGATCTAATGATACTTTATCAAGTATTTATGCAACTGTAATCATTATCTTTTTTGCTGCATTGATATTTAAAAAACCAGCGTATGTTTAAAAAAAAAAAATCTTTATTTTATTTGTTTTTGTCTTTCAATTCCAAATAGAACTCATACATATACTATAAACAGTTCTACTCTTCTATTGATTATTAATAAATAATTCATAAGAATTTCATTCTGTTTGATTCCATATTTTTATTTTATTTTATAATTAAAAAAATAGAAAATTAAATTATGTTTCTATGTTCTCTTTTCATTATACTTCAACCATACATTGTGTTATTGACTCTTAATATATAGATATGTATAATATAATCTTAGAGCATGTCACTAGGGTCAAAGTACCGACAAGAAATAAAATATTGTATGTCTGATAGATGAAAATTTTTGTTTTTCATATTTCACTTTTTTCTTTTGATTCATCGTCATTTGTTTTCAATGTGACATGTTTTTTTATGCTTCATTAACTTTTTTACTAATAAATATGCCCATAGATCATAAAAGATAAAAAAAATATCATGCACTGTAACGATTATTCGCATGATCATTAATGAAATATTTTTTCGTTAGTAAAAAAAGAAAAAAACATAGTCTCGGTTGCTAGCAACAACAGTACAAATAATAAGAATAAGTTGTAAGAATAGTTTAGTTTTTTTTTTCAGGAAATAATCTCATCTCGTGATGACAGAATTTTTGTTTTTGTTAGATTCTATTTCAAGAAGAACTTCCTTTTCTACTTTTTTTTTTTTTTTTTTTTTTTTTATAAACAAAAAACTCAATAAGGAAAAAAAACGATGATGATAGATGATTATTATTGTATGTTCGAAATACTTTAGCCTTTGATCATATTACCTGTCACATCTTATATAGGTGTTAAGGCATTCGATTCTTTTTTCTTTCAATACTATTCTATAGAGAAACCATATATATAGTTCTTATATAACTTGCGCAAATAATAGAAGTAATATTCTTCTTTTTTTTTCTTTTGCCTAGAATTTCTTATCTTCTCGATTTCAAAAAAAAAAAAAAAAAAGAAAAAGAAAAAAAGCAATATATTGATGAACAAAGATAGTATGGAAGCAATTTCATATACATTGACATGTCTATGTTAAGAGATGAAATATAAAAGATGAATTCCAATAGTTGTCTTATATTTGATAAGTGAGATTTATTAAGAACTAGATTTAATAGACACAATGAAAAATAAATCTGAAATTAGATTGTCAGATAGAATACATAAATTATATGAGATTGATTAATATTGTTAAAACATATAATGAGATTTCTATTGAAATGAAAGTATTGACTAGACAATAGCTATTAATCGTATGATGTGTAAATGAAAAGAAATAAGACAGATAAGTAATTTCTTTTTTCATTCTTTAACTTTTTATTCATTATTTTTAGAATATAACGTATTCTGTGAGGGTGCATTTTTTTTCTTTCATTGATTCTTTCGTTCTTTCAACTCACATCGTCATTTCCTTATAATACGACCAACAACAATAGCAATCAGAACAACAATAGCTTTCAAAGTTCTCCATAAAAAACACTGTTCGATGTATAAGCTAATTGTAGTTCAATTTCTTTTTTCTTTCTTTCAATTATTCCTCTTATATTATTTTATTGTGTTTGACTATTTAAACGACACGAACCCTTTCCCCTCCATTTTTTTTAAACAGTATTCTTAGCAAAAAAATGGCATTATCGTATGAGTTTTTTACATCAACATACAAATGAAACATTTCTCGTCAATATTTTATATATGTCCAACTAAAGTGTATAGGCGTAATATTGATAGAAATAAAAGAGAGAAAAAAAGAAAAAAAAAATAGAAGGTGAAGTGTTACAGTAGATATTTAGTTGGTTAAGAAAATTTGAGTACGATCATTTAAAAAAAAAAGCATAGAAAACTTCGTATCCATGATGTTTACGTGTCTTTTCAGCCAAATTTATTTAAATGACAAGCGTAAGTTATTCACCTAGTCATAAAAGAAAAATATCTTATAAACAAATAAAAATTTTCTTTTTCAGAGGTTTCGTCATATTCTGTTCTATTTAATATAACATCAATTTCACCTGAGAATTTTCATTTTTTGGGCCATAACCGACATTACAAGTGTCTGGTTTTTTTAACCTATATAGAAAAAAATCTATTACACAATTTTATTTTGGATATCCTTATTTTTCTTTTTATTTTGTTTCTGAGGATGTTGCTCAAAGTAACATGTCATATATGATTATTTTTTTGATAGAAGAAATACACTGTTTTTTTTTTGTAATCATTTTAGTCTTACTTATTTTGTTCGTAAAATACTCAACATGGCATCAGTTCGTCCCATTAGTGCATCAAAACCATCTGAACATTTATTAAAACAACGTCTACCTCCTGCATCATCTTCAACATCTGCACTTTCTCAAAGAAAAGTAACATTAAATAAAAAACCTCCAATTGTAGTGTCAGCAACACCAACATCTCGACAAAAATCAGGTCGAATGTCATCAAAAGAAAGTCCTATTGGTCCAATAGCATCACCTGTTAAACTTAATCCAAGCAATACTAGCACACCAACAAACAGTACCGTATTAATAACAGATAAAATGGCTTCTACTACACTTGATAATGTACCTCCAACAAGATCACATTCAAGTTTGTCATATTCCGGAAATAGTTCCATTTCACTGGTTGATTCAGTTTCAAATAAATCAGTTGAAGTAAAACCAAATCATATAAATAAAGCATCATCATCATCATTAAACACTTTAATTAATAGTCAATTTACATTAGAATCATTTGATACTGTACGAACGATTGGTACTGGTAAGAATTTTATAGAAAACAAAAATTAGAAGATTTTTTTTTTTAAATAATTTTATTTCTTTAGGAACATTTGGTCGTGTACAACTTATTTATCATCGTGATAGTAAGAAATATTATGCACTTAAAACAATGTCTATAAAACGTATTATTGAATCGAAACAAACTGAACATGTACAAAATGAAAAACATATATTATCAAAAATTAATCATCCATTTCTTGTACGTTTATATTGGACAACACATACCAATAGTTTAGTTTATCTTTTACTTGATTATTTACCCGGTGGTGAACTTTTTCAAATGATGCGTAAACGAGAAAAATTTGATTCTAAAACAGCTATGTTTTATGCAAGTGAAGTTTTACTTGGACTTGATTATCTACATCATTTAGATATACTCTATCGAGATTTAAAACCAGTAAGAAATATATATATATATTTTTTTGTTTTAAAAATAAACTAATTTAATTCAATAAAAAAAACAAAATCATCTCTGATTCTTTTTTTTCTAGGAAAATATTTTAATAGATGGAAAAGGACATATACGTCTAGTAGATTTTGGTTTTGCAAAAGAAACTAAAGAACGTACATTTACATTATGTGGTACTGTTGATTATCTTGCACCAGGTATGAATATAATCAATATTGTTCGTTTCTATTTATTGACGTTTTTTTTAAATACTTTTTTAGAAGTTATTCAAAATCGTGGTCATCATAAAGCATCCGATTGGTGGGCATTTGGTATTCTCATATATGAAATGCTTGCTGGTAATTAATCAAAAATAAAACATTTTTCTTTTAATGTTTATCTATTTATTTTTAGGTTATCCACCATTCTATGATGCTGATCAATTTGTAGCATATCAAAAAATTATTTGTGGTAAAATTGATTTTCCACGTCATTTTGATTATGCTGCCAAACAATTACTTCGTAAAATACTTCATACAGATCAAGCTCAACGACTTGGTTCAGCAAAAGATGGTGGTGAAGAAATCAAACGTGAACAATGGTTTATTGCTATATCATGGACAGATGTATATGAACAGAAAATAGAACCACCTATAAAACCTACAGTGACATCAGAAGGTGATACAGCAAATTTTGATACTTATGATGAATTTGATATTAAATTAACACCACAAGCAGCAAAATATGAAGTGCAACTATTTAAAGATTTCTAAATGATTCAAAAAAAGAAAAACAATCTGTATCCTTATATATATATAAATGCTCAGTGCATTTGATTATATTTTTTATCTATATACATATATATATATATATATATATTTCATTATTTGTTGTGAATCTCTTTTGTCTTTTTGTTTGTTTTGACGATTGTATATTGATCTATTTTGTGTCATAGACAATATGTAAGCAAAGTTTAAGAAGTCTATTTTGAATTTATTATTTCAACAGTTCAACAAACAGAAATATTTTTATTAATAATATAAGATAGTTGAATGTATTGAACAGCTTGACATCATATTTTTTGACATTTTGTTTTCTCATGTGAATAACTTTTGTGTAATGGCATTCTCTCAACATTATTGATGTGGAATTCCTTCCGATTTCCAATGTCTATTATTATTTTTATTTAGAATATGATAGATGAATCATGATTTTATATTAGAAATAACATGTCTTCTTTTAATGTCTCGTTTTTTTTCTTTTGCTTGTAAAATATCTCCGGTAAAAATTAAGTTTCGTTCCATTAATCAGATACATAGCTAGTCTAAACCAAAAAAAATAAATTTTATAGAATTTATTTACAGAAAAAAGAAAATAACGAATAAACTGTAAAGACTTAGATTATGAATATTTGCAAAATCTCTTTTCTTTTGTTAACTTGACTTTAAAAAAATTCTTTTTATCAATAGATTCTTTGTAAAATCCTCTACAAAATGGTCAACTCTATCCAAAGAACATAGTCTGTTTGAATTTTTTTAGTTAAGACATCACTATATTGGCAAATTTTTTCCTTTTTTCAACCATTTAGTCAACATGTTTCAGCTCTCCATTGCGAAAATAATGAATATTAATAAATGTTTGACAAGCTTACGCAAACCAATCATCAATATTCGATGAGCAATGTAAGATTAATCTATTTATGCAAGAATCAACGGTTTATTTGTTATTCCCAATTTGACTAAGTTTGACAGCTATTTTTAGTTTCTCCTTTCATCGTGAAACTTAACATTCTACAGACTATTTTCATCAAACTCGTTACGAAGCGCAGTGATAGATGAGAAACTCTGAAAATGATGATTCTACTCAAAAGTATTTAAGTCTGATTGAATCTCGATATCATTTACGCTTCTCTTAACCTATTGGGGGCGGACTTATTTTTTCATAAAAAATGAAATTGTGTTGCCAAAATTAATTATATTGTCAAAGGATGTGGGTGTGGGTGAGTGTGGGTATATGGTATAAGGGAATTTCAACACCAACACCCACACTCACGTCCTCTTGTCATCTTCATAATCTTCATTGATTGGAACAGTAAGAGTCATAGCATTTGAACTTGCTGTTGATGCACTGTTCATCACCATTATATTGTTATTCTATTTAAAAAAAAGCTTTAAATGATTTTTCTTTTTGCTGTTTTTCTCTTACCGTTTCATCGTCTTCAGAAGATCTTGTTTTATCACTTTCAGAACCAGTTCCATCATATACTATCAATAAAATATCGCTCGTCGAGATTTCTATAAAGAATATATTTAAATTTAATAATTAAATAAATAACTTTACTACTATTGCTGCTTTTGCGTTTGCCTTTCTTAACAATTCCTTGATGCTCTTGTTCCACTGCCATTTGAACGTTGCTTTCAGTAGCAGCAATGTCTCATTTTAAACTTCTTATTTCATCACCTATTTTCAACATCATTTCAACTTTTTCTTCATACAATTCTTTGAGTTTGTTAAGTTGATTACGATGAAGATTTTCATCAACTTGTTGGGGTTTATTGGAGTTGTTCATCGTCAGTAGAACGGACCAAAGTGAAGAAAAACGAGTATATATACATATTACTACCTATAGACAAAGATACTATCGAAGGGACTAGACAGAAAATTCTAGAACAAAATATCTAGAAGATGGATAGCGAGCGAAAGGGGAAGAACGCCGACAGAGAAACAGAACAAACAAAACGAAAAATATAGTGAATAGTCGACTATAATATACATCTCGATTTCGATAAATTGTTCTAGAATATTCTTCGAAATACATATAGTTCACAATGATGCAAATAATATGTACTGATTGACATATCATAATAAATATGATGAATCCATTCTACTGTATGATGAGGAAAGATTTTAATTCTTCTAACATGCAAATAATCCAAAAGGAAACATTCTCAAATGAAAAATTGATCGTAAAAACAAGGAATAATTGTATAAAATACTTGTTTTAGTTACAGTCGATGATGAAAAACATCAATTGGATGTATCATTATCATATTGATTCAGTAAAAGTGATCGTTTAACGAATTCAATACTTTGAATATTAGATGTATGATATTGAAGAAATGATGTAGTTTTTGTTGTAATATCAATTTTCTTCTGATTTGATGTTGGTAAATACATATTAAGAATTGCTGAAGAAGAAAGTGCATCAGGTGCTCATGAATCGGATTTTGATCGAATTTTTCTTGGTGATGATGGTGTAGAAAACATCTGTTGATTAATTTGTGTTGATGTTAATGAAAATAGGACAGAACGAACAGCATATTCTTTACTCCAAATTGATTGAAGATGTCCTGGAATAAATGATGATGACCCAAGTGAACGATACTATTCAAAGATAGTCTTTCAACCAAAATAATTAAAAAATTATTTACTTCCCATTTACTTGGATGAAAATTACCAACTATATGTTTTGTTTTTACATTTAAATTCCCAATTTCATATCGAACAGCAAGTGATGTATAATCACATCTAAAAAATGAAGATATCTTGCTGAGAGTTTTATTGTTTTTCCGTATTGTTCAGCAAATTTTAATTGATCATAATCAACATCATCTGAGATTGGATTAAGTAGGGATTGTTTTCTTTGTATAGGATCATAAACAATTTGATAAAGAAATGCTAAATGTACTCATTTGAAACCTATGATATAATTATTTGTTACATGAAGATTTAATTTACCAAGATTTTGTGGTAATTGTTTAGGAATATATTTAACAAAAAAAAAACAGAATAACAATTGGAACAATATTCTATGGCAATTACTAATCCAATATTTGTCATTTGTGTTCTACTAAAATTTTTTTTTTGCTTTAGCTAAACCAATTCTAGTTATATTATCAAAACAATCACATCCAGATAAAATACACATCTAACGAAATTTTTCAAATGTATCAAGACTATATTCCTTTTTTGAATCAAATTTTGTTCTTTCAAATAATTTATCACTTCCTTGTTCATCAAGTTTAAATAAAATCTAAAGATATTTATGAAAGAAGTATTTATATTATCCTTCTCCTTTGATTACTAACATGATGATAACCAAAAGAAAAAGCTCTAAATCTTCTGTTATAACATACTCAGTTATTTTTCTTCGATTTTAATACGCTAATTGAGCATCCGCTTCCTATGGTGCAACAATCACATCAATACCCATAATTCAAACAGCCTAAAAGCAAAAAACAAAATATACCATTGATAATATAAAGAAACAAGATAATCTTATACTCGAAAAACATTTCAAACCATATTCGGTGTAATTTCAATTGTTTTTTGTGCACGTAATCGATTTCTTTCACGTTCACAAGAAACAAAATAACTAGCCAAAAGATTCATATCTTAAATACACGTGCTACAATTAATATTTGTAATTCATTTTGTTGCTAATGATGAACTATTGAAAATCATAATAGGTTTTATATTCGATTCAACTAATCTTCCAATATATCATGTTAAATATTGAATAAAACGTATCAATATTCATCAATTAATTATTCCTTGTTTTTACGATCAATTTTTCATTTAAGAATGTTTCCTTTTGGATTATTTGCATATTAGGAGAATTAAAATCTTTTCTCATCATACAGTAGAATGGATTCATCATGTTTATTGTGATATGTCAATCGGTACATATTATTTCCATCATTGTGAACTATATGTATTTCGAAGAATATTCTAGAATAATTCATCGAGATCGAGATGTATATTATAGTCGACTATGCATTATATTTTTCGTTTGTTTGAAAATCGATGCATTGTATTTCTAGCCAAAACTGCTTGAACATGTATAAAATGAATTCCTAGTTTTTTGAAGAATGTATGACAACAGTGTGAATATCATTTCTTTCGCTACATTATTACATATTCGATTAAATTTGTATCAAACAATTCTCATATGATTAATCCTATATCATGAATTTCTTTTAATAATCATATTAACAAAATTGATTCAAGTTAACAGAAAAAAAAGGAAATAGAATACTACTGAACTTGTTTATGAAAATTTTTCAAACTTATTTTTGACGAGTATAGCACCAAAAGTCACATGATTTCTTTTCGTGCGCAGCACTAAGCTAAAAACTTTTTTTTAAATCTTTACCACAACTTTTTCTATCTACTTAACTGTTCATTGTCTACTAATTTTTTAAAATCTATGCGATTACTTTCATTGAAACAGCCGTTGAACTGATAGATAGAATAATCAATCTCGATTTTCGTCATTCACATCATGTGATTGGATACAAAACATTGTGGCCCATTTCCTTTTTTCTATAAAAAATAACTGATGGGGAAAAAAAATAGTTCAAAATAAGAGTATGTCATCATTCAGTAGAATTATTGATACATAATTAAGAAGGAGAACATAAACTCTATTATATATCTAAAGTTCAAAGTAAAATTTATGATATATATACAGTTTTAAAATATTTATAGAAGTGGTTAAAAGTTCAAGATATATCATATATGTTTTTTTTTTCGTCATTTCAAAACAAAATAATTTTGAAGAATTATGGTATTCAAAATGTTTAATAACGAGTAATGTTCGTTGATATCTGGTTCATTTGGTCCTAGACTGTCCTTGGAAAATTTTAAAAAAAGAAACCTTTACTAACCGCAATATCTGATAATGTGGTTGCAATTAAGTATACCATATTGAGAAAGACCTCAGTTGATTGCAGTTTTATTCAAAAATTTTTCCGTGGGTGACAGCATAGAGAGACAGATATAGTTATAAGTAGATATAAATGTGCATTAGGGAAAGTAGGAGACAAACAAAAATTAAAACACAACATGTATATACCAACCAGTTATAAAAGGTAATTTGAAGAGTGCAGACGATGTATACAAGCAAGTTTTTAACGAAAAAAAATTTTTCTCTAATATAATACTTTATTTCTTCTTGATAGTGAATAGATTTTTGAATACAATAAACGTTTTTCGATAGAGTTCAATTTATGGATCGAGTAAGGTTGTTTTTTCTTTTAAGAGAAATTTCGTGAAATTTTTTGATTGTATATTTGTTGTCATTAATATGCGCTTTGTTTTCTAATTCCATAATATCAAAGTTTATTTGCAAAATTTCCAATGATAATTGAGTTTAAAAAATATTTCTTTTTAATACTATATCTAGGTATATCAGATTGGGGTAGTACAGTTACTATGAATGATATGCGATCATAAATAGTATTGCATTGATTAAAAGACATAATGTTTGAAGTTTGAGCATTCTAAATGGAAAACTTGACATTGTCGTTAAGAATACAATGTTTCATAACTAGTTTGTATTAGTGTTGTTTGTACTCAAAAAAAAATTTAATGTCACATTATTTTTAAAGAAGATGATTTTCGTTTGTTTATCATTAATTATACATTCAAAACCACTTATCACACTTTAATTTATTGATCAATCCCATGCTCACGTATAGACCACGAAATAATAATGCTTCTCGTTTTTCTAACACATAATGGTCAGTTAATTTCAAATTGTAATGACCAGATAATCTTTCTCACGAACGTTTCAACCATAGTTACCAGACGACTCATTGTATATCATAATTACCACATGATCCTTTGGACCATAACTATTCGATGGTTATTTGTAACTTTGACATGTTTAAAGACACAATTGAATTTCCGTGTCTAGATCCTATGTTTACAGTCTAAGGTAAATCAAGACTTTTTAAAAATATCTATGATAATCTTTTTTTTTTAAGTACATAAGAATTAATTCGAGAGAATACGTACGAAATGATTATTTTTCTATTAAAAAAAAAAGTATTGAAAAATTTCTAACAAAGATTTTTTTTCCTGCCCTTCATTGTTTTATTTTTAAACACAAAATAATGTTGTTATTTTTTTTCTTTCAATGGGCAAGAAAACAAGAAAAAAAATCTTTGATTGACATGACACATAGAAACATAACATTCTTCTTGAGACAAATAAAAGAAAAAATAAACGTAGTAAAAGAAATTTTACAAGTAGTAATCATTATGGACTATCTTTGCCTTGAACAGTACCATTTGTTATTGGTTTTTTCTTAATAAGTCGTTTTTTCTTTTCCAATTCAATTGTTTCTAATTGAAGTTTAGTAAGTTGTGATAATTTATTTAATATATCGTGAGGACAATTAGTAAATGGATCAGGATATTCATAAATTTCTAAAAAAAAAAGTATAAAAATAATAAAATTATTTCTAAATAGTTATTATAAACATTACCTCTAGAATTCATGAATTTTTCTTGTTGTATACGTGATTTTATATTTTGATTATTATTTCGTTGTGTTTGTTGAGATGATGTATATGTAGATGATAATGTTGTCGTTGTTGGCAATAATTGTCGTGTTGTACGCATTGATGAAGATATATTAGATTTAAATCTTTCAGTTGCTATTAATAAACTATTTGATGTTGTTTCAGCTATTGTTCTTTGTCGAATAGTATTTCCACCTGCTGCTGCACCACTTCGATAACTAAATACAGATGAATTTGTTTGAGGATGACCACTAGTACTCATCGCCATCTGATTTGTTGAAGTGGAACTAACGGGTACGTCAGTGGTGGATGGAACAATTACTGAAGAATCATGATTTACAATACGACGTTCTATAATAATAAACAATAGACATGTGTGTAAAATTTACAATCAACACTGAAATAAGAAAGAAAAGATAGAGAAAGATTTTGTTGCATTTGTCTGACTCCTCATTACTCTGCGCATGTTTTATTTTTCAACATTTGATGTTGTCAATTCTCTTCTTACTCGTTTGCATTCGGTTGGCGCGCGTCAAATCATTCTCTTTTTTTCCATCATCACTATTCAACACACTTTTTGTTCTGTTTCTCCTTCTTTTATAGATTCATGCACTACAGATTTAACCAAACCGTATAGATGAGAATGTCAAAAAAACAAAACAAAAGAAATAAATAAAAAATGAAAATTAAATATAGAAATGAATCAATTCTTTTTCCAATCTAAACTTACTTTGTCCTTCTACTTTTAATATTGGAGTTAACTTTAATGGAGAAATATTTTGCTGTTGTTGTTGTTGTTGTTGTTGTGGTTGTTGTGATTTAGTAGACATAATTGCTGCTGTTGTTGCCATTGATAAAGTTGAATTTTTACTTGATAATGATGAACAAGTAACAGAACCATTATTTGTATCTATTTATTCAATAATAATATTGTAATAATTATGAAATGTCTAATTTCTTACGTTCTTTAGGTAATTTAAGAATCATAACATTATCATTGAAATGATTTAATCGTTGTGTTTGCTTGCTATTTGTTGAACTAACAAGTGTTTTAAATGATGAAACATAACGTTTTGTTGGTGATGTAAGTAGTTTTGGTACATCTGTATGAATAAATATATGACAATGTATGATTAGTTTCTTGTTTATTATATACCTTGTTGTGAAATATCAATTGATGATTGAGCTATATTTGATGATGAAGCAAGAAATGTATCAACAACTGTATCACCAAAAACTTGATTTCGTGGTAATGACTGTCGATCTTGTTTGTTTATTTGTGGTGTTGATCGAAAATGAGGATCAGATGATGAGAGTCTATTGAAATAAATAAGGAAATAATGATCATTTAAAATAAAATATTTAAACACTTTGAAGTTTCTTTGGGTGTTAATTTCGTGAGAACATATTTCCATTCAGTAAAAGATATTGGAACTTGTGCAGTCCATTGAAAAAAAGGACTATTACCTTGACAGATCATCTGTTGTATTTTAAATTCTTAATCGAATTTTTCTTTGAATTCAACTATAAGACAAAGTTACGAAAATCGTTCGTGTCTACACACATACTTTTACTCTAATTGATGTTTGTTTGTTTAGGTGATTAAACAGTTATAAAAAAGAAAAAGCCTTATTGTTGCTTCACCTTATTTTTCGTTAAAAAAATGTTCGTTGTCATGCACTTTATTCAAGTAGTCGTTGCACCTTACTATATTTAGAGAAATATTTCTAAAATTTGTTCAACAGAGAGAAAAATGAGAGGAAAAAAAAAGAAAGAGCTCACATATGCTTATAATCAAGTATCAATAATGAACTATATAATGAAAAAATATTTCAAAACTAATTGATATTCTAGGAGAAAAAGAGTATTCTTTTTTTTTCTTTCTTTTATTAATTAAATTTAAATATTAAGAATATGATATGAGTCAATATTTTAGATATGTGATTAGAAATTTCTTACATGTATATGTAGTAACGATACAAAAAAAAATAATAATAATAAACGATTTCTTAACAATTGATCACCTAATCAAGCAAAAAATAGTTGTTCTGATAGAATCAGTTCTTTTTTATTATTTTCGATTTTCTATATGATGCTTTGCTTTCGTTGAAAGAATATAACTCTTCTGATTCTTAATTAATACATCATAAATGCTTGTAACATAAGTGATTTCGTATATTCAATTATTGATAGACTCTTCAATTCAAATGAATTTCTTTTATACTAAAATTTATCTAGGGATCAAAAAAAATTGATCCTACAGATGGCGTTAGATTCTAGTGCAATTTAAAAAAAAATTATACTTCTATTCTTTATAGAATAATGAACAATTATAAAGTATATGCTTGTGTGTAATCATATTTTCTAGTTTATATAATGAAAGTTTTTATGCTAATTTCTGTTTGAATAAAAAATAATCCAATCAAAACTAACTTTACAAGTCTATTCTATTCACTTTATATTTGTTTCTTTTTACACTACTTCATCATCTTCAAACTGTACTGTTTACTAGTGCTTTAAAATGGCCTCGGAAAATTCTACACAAACTGCTACAGAAGAAATTCGTTTACTTCTTATTGGTCCACCAAAAACTGGTCAATCATCTATTGCAAATATTCTTGCTGGTCACAATGTTTTTCCTGTTGGTGCATCAAGTTCAGTTGAATCTGCAACACCAACAACACAACCAAGACATTTTACTAATAAAAATATTCTTACTGACAAACATTTACTTGTTGTTGATGCTCCTGTATGTTTTTTAAATTTAAAGAAAAAAAAGAACAAAAAAAAATATTAGTAAAATTTCTATTCTAGCCTTTATTCATATTAAAAGATGCAACATCAAATGAAAAAGACATGAGACGACTTGCGAAATGTGTTGCACTTGTTAGTCCTGGTCCACATGCAATTTTTCTTATACTTAGTTGTGATGATGCAAAGAATGAACGATTTGATATGAAACAAATTGTAACAACTGTATTTGGTAAGAAAATGTGTTTCATTAATTTTTTATTTTCATTTGATACATTTTCAGAATAGAGTTAATTAATCTAAATTACTTTTGATTAAAAATATCTTCATCTTTATTTAAGAATAAAACAAATGGAAAATAACTAATAGATATTTTCATGAGAGATAATTAAACACACATAATGATAAATATATGATTAAATATTATGAAAATTACTTTTTATGGCCTGAGTATTAATTAATACTCTTTCCATTCATTCGTTATATCTTCTTTTTCGAAAAGTATTCGACTGAATAATTTAAAGAACAACATTCTAACACTGGAAAATCTGTCTAAAAGTAAGAAGAAATACAGAGTATTTTATTTATTTCTGAGTTTAATGTTTGTATAGAGTGATCCAATCGTCGTTTTTCAGAAAGCCAAAAATTTGAATATTTTCACTCAATGAATCAATTTTTTTCTATCATAGATAAAGGCAAAGAAATTAATACATCGTTTAGTCACAATATATAGCAAGTGAATGCATTGGAGATTTTACGGTAATCAAAAGAATTCATTTCTTTGTTCCAATGAACACTAAGAATTCTTTGATTGATTTCATCGTTAATAAATCGAGTATTGCTATATGTATTCAGACGAACTATTAGTAGTCTTCTTTTTCTAATCATCATCAATGACTTTGAATACATTTTTTACTACAGGAAACAATCATTAGTATATTCTAATTCAAAATCAGTGTAGAGAATGGAGAAAAAAAACAATTAATTGTATTCTTACCTATGACAAAAAAAAAACTAAATTGATTGTTCTGAAATTTTTATATCTTACCATAATTCCATCTATTTACTAGATTCCTTTAGCAACCTATATCAAATAAACTGATTTCTAATCTTTAAAAATTGACTTTATTATATACTATAATCTTAATTCTATTTGTAGGTGCCGAAGCGTTAGATCAGTCAATAGTTGTTTTTTCATTTATTGATCGTCTTGAAAGAAAAGGTATATCTGTTGATGATTGGATAAATAAAGAATGTAAACAACAAGCATTACTTGAAGCATGTGGTCATCGTTATTTAGTTATTGATTCTTCTCATAATGATCAAACAAAACATATAGATTTTTTAAATCGTACATTAACAATGTTAAATGAATTATGGAAAGAAAAATTAATATTTAAATCAAAAATGTTTGATGATATTGAACAAGAAATTCAACGACAAGAAAAAAATCGTTCGGATTTATTTCAAAAAAAATATGCAAATAATTTTTATGGTTCAGAAAAAGCATTACGTCTTCTTTTACGTGAACATATGCGTGATGAACTTGAACGAGAACCAATTTTAGCTGAAGCTGATTATCTTGTTGTTGAAAAATATTTACAACCTATTGTTAAATCTTTATTACAAGAAGTCGCACGTTATCTCGAAGAAGAAATTGTTAGTACTTAAATAAAAAAAACAAAAAAACAAAAAACAATATTTATAAAAGAAGACAATTTTCTTTTTTTATTCATGCTATTAAATGTGTTTTTTTTTTCGTTTGATTTGTTAATGTGTAACAGTAAATCTTAATGATTTGATCGAACTTTTTTTCCTTTCTTTCTTTCTTTCTTTTTTTTTTCCGAGGTCTTATGATCAATTAATGGGATCAATATTTTTTCGTCATGGTAGAAATGTGTCTGTTGAGTGTTGTAGAAGTATGTCAGAAATATCGAACTGTATGACAAATAATTTTGATTTAAGACAAAAAACAAAATTCGTCCTTAAATAAATTTAATGTTTTTACTCGTTGTGTTTCTAACTTAAGCAGAAATTCACTTAACACATTTGAAAGTTTTTCAGATGTAAAATTATACTAAGATGTTCTGATGATAATCTTCTAAAAGCCGAGAACTATTTCTTCTTAACAGTAATTGTTAAACACTATAAGTAGTCTATTATTAGCTTTGATGATTAGTATCGTCTAGAAATTAATATAAAAAGTTTACTCTTCTGTTAAGTTGTCAAAACAAAAAAACTCATTTGCATAACTTACATAGATGCTGAATTGACCAAGACATCCGTAGCAGCAACAGCCATTCTCTTTGTAATAATGATTGTTAAAAGTTTTTATTCGTATGTTTTCATTCGCATTCGTTTAATACATCTACATTTAATCAAACAACAGTATAGTTTCTCTTAGCTTGACTATAATAATAGATGAAAAGACGAAGTACATAGTCGATTTAATAATCGAAAGAAAAAAGGTAAAAATGAATAAAAAAAGAAAAAGCTGTCGTTGAGTAAAGAAATATGTTTGTACAAAAAAGAAATAAGAATGTAAGAAAACATAATTGTCGTTGTTGTTGACATATGTTCATCGTTTTTATTACATTTTCAGGGTTTCATTTAAAATCGATCATTTTAGATTATTTTTCATTATGAGTCGTCTTTGGAAAATCGGCTCAATCTTTTCTCGTCTATCAGGTATGATTGAAGGTGGACATTTAAAATCAACAGATATACCTATTTGGTATTCAATATATAAACGTTATCCACCAATACGTGAACCACGTTATTTATCATTAACTGAAGGTGAAATACCAAAAGCATATGAACCACCAAAATTATTATATGATGAAGATATAATAAGACATGCTTATTATGAAGATGTTGACGATGGAGAAATAATTAAATTAAAAAATAATGATAGAAAATCTCGATCACAAGTATTTATTGATGAATATTTTAAATTAAAATCTAAACAAAAGACTCCTATATCACATTCGAAATTATTTCGATTAACATTAGAACATTTACAATCACATGGACATCCGATTATGTTTAAAATAGGTAAAAAACAAAAAAATAAAAATAAAAAGCTTTTATTTATGTGTTTATTTGATCAAACAAAAACAAAAATACTTATATACTCATAATTCGAATGTTTTGATTTTAGGTACTGAACAAAAATATCCAGAAATCGAACCACAATCTAATGAAACTATCAGATCAATTGATAATAATACTCAACAAATGCAATCAAATATTAAAAATACATCAGATTCAATAGTTAATTTAGATAAATTTGAAACTGAATGGGAACAGAATAATAAAGAAGGTTATTTTCCATTAGGTAAAAATACTTATCAATATCGTCGTCTTCAACCTCATCGTACTCGAACATCATTTGGTGAAGTAACTTTTAATGATTCAGATGTTGTCTATCGTCGTACAGATGGTTATATGCATTCAACTGTACTTGGTGATGAAGTTAAACAAAAAGAAAATCCATATATGCCAGGTGAAAATATTCAACCATTATCACCACCAACATTTATTCAACAAAATATGCTTCGACATGGAAAAGCACATAATGTATTTACACGTGAACAATATGAACAAGATCCATTTTTACGTTTACAAGATCGAGTACAAAATTTAGAATATTGGAAAAAACCACCAATACATAACAAAGTTTTTAAAAGAAAATTTAAAGCAAAGAAATTTCTTGTTGATATACCAGGAATTTATGATAAAAAATAGAATTTGTCAATGTTTTGCTTTTTTTTGTTGTTTTCAAAAAAAAAAAAATACATAAGATATATGAAAAAAATCTTATCTAATATACATTAAATTAATAGAAAACTTATAAATAATCAAATATGTTTGAAGGAGATATTATTGTTGATATAATAACTACAAAATTAATATGCATATTAAAGAAAATATTCTTATAGACTTGATGTAATTTCGAAAGATTAACTAGAAATTGTTATATGAATAAATAACGATGTATCTTATTTAAATCTAAAGGTCTGTCCACACTGTACAAATCAATTTCGATTTACGAAATATGATTGATTAAAAAAAGAAAATGTGATGTCTGAGAATCTTTTGTATTCTATTTTCTGATAATTTGAAAGATTTTTCAGAACAAAAAAAAAATCGAAGGATTGATTTTAACTTTAATCTTAAGTAATTTTCAGAGAAATATTTTAGCAAAGGATTTATTATATGTTCTTTCTCTGTCATCCGTAATCAAGTCGATGTATATATTCAACACAGAGAGTTTTTAAATAACAAACTAGAGAAGGTCTTCGGAAAGAAATAATTGTTTGAATTTCAAATGATTATTTATTGATATTGTTTATTTAATTATAATCTAATTATTATACCTTTTGATTTAGATATGAATTCATTTTTATCTGGTTTTTCTTCATCGAATACAAATGTCTTTGATAGTTGTCCATCATCATCAAATTTTACTCAATTTGTACATGATGCTCAATCATTTCTTCTTCTTCTTTCACATATTGAAGAAATTAGTTGGTCATCAATACGACTTTCTTCTTCATCGGATGGTTCAATTCTTACACTTCATCATACATATATTGATTTAGGAGATCGTTCACATGATTTATATATTGATATACCACAACGATGGCCAAATGAACGACCACGTTGTCGTACTAATCTTCCAGTTGAATTTAATATTGAAATATGGTGTCCAAAAACCAGTCGTCTTATTGAAATAATCACAAATTTCCATTCAGTTGTTAATAGTTTACAATCATTTTGGACTCAATTAAATGAATTAGAACGAGATGCTATTGTCTTAGATGAAAAACCTATTTCATATGCTTCAACAACAAGACGACTAAAAATTAATGATAATGTACATGTACAAATTCAGGTTCGGCGTTTAATCCTTACGAAGGAACGGTCCTAAACGATTCCGAACTTTTGCGATAATACTTTTTCCATTAGTAGACTTCAGTGAAACTAGAGAAAATGTTAAAGGATAATAGTGCATAGATCTTTCTTTTCGCGTTATGAGCATTCTACTAGGTATATCACTAATAACAAAAGATTTAACGAAAACACAAAGCACAGAATTTATATCTCATGGTTTTTATAGCGACTTAAATGTCATAATCAAAACGAACGCTTCTTTCTCGACATAATGAATTTTCAAGCAAAATCTATTTTTGTCACATGTGATATCATGAGAGTATTTCTTGAAGATTAACTATCTCCAGAAAGAAGCATTCGTTTTGATTGTGACATTTAGATTGTCACGAGATCTAAATTCTGTACTTTGAACTTTCGTTAAATCTCTTGTTATAAGTTGATAGACCTAGTAAAATGTTCATCATTCAGAAAGAAAGATCTATGCATTATTATCCTCTTAAATCTTGTCTAGTTGTTCTGAATCCTACTAATCGAAAAAATATCATCACGAAAGCTCTAAATCATTTGGAATAATTTTCTTGTAAAACTCAATCGAAATTAAAATTCTAGATTGATCCATATAATCCTTGTGCATTTCCATCAATCACTTTTCATGGTCCACCAATGCTTGTTCGATCATTTGATGAACGTCTTGAACAAAATCGTAATCATTGGAATGATGCACATTCAAATATAATATTAAATCTTGAACATATACTTGATATAACATTTCCAAGCAATATTTTTTTAAAATCAAAATCTCAAACTAAAGATGATCAACAACAAGAATGTGGAATATGTTATGAATCAACGATTGATATGAATGAAACAGTTATTTATTGCGAAACAACAAATTGTTTTAAACAATATCATGAAAAATGTTGGAAAATTTGGTTAAGAAAAAAAGTTCCACAAAGAGGTGGTTGTGATGTTTTAGATATTGTTGTTGATGAACGAATGAACACAACAACAGCAAGTGGACCGTGTCTTTTTTGTAAAAAAAATATAATTGTTAATTAAAAACAAAACCTTTTTTTTTATCTATGAATTCGTTTCGAATAATTGCTCATGAAAGAATCATTTTTCACTTCTTCTGAATAGAGAAATATCAAATTTAATTGGTTGATGTTATCATTGTACTACGCAAATACGAAACAAAACAAAAAAGAATAACATAGACTTTACTCTGTACCGAGCAAAAAAAAAATCATGTCAATTTGTCGAGTAAGATGATCATCGTTGTCGTAGACAAATAATCAGTTAATTATCAATTCACCAGGTCATGTCAATATTAGATTAATCTAATAGCAGTAAAACAAAAGTGATTTGTCAGTGTTTTTATTTCCATTTATTTCCAGTATTTATAAGAGTAGCTGCATCTATCTAAAACACGTTGAGACAAAATTCGAGTTTATCATTGCACAGATTATACAAGTAGTAAAATGTAAATAAATTTTGAACAAGACTATTGCATTGTTACCGTTGACTCTGTTACAATGATATTATACATATACCACTATCTTTACGTATTTATCTTATCTTCGATTTTAATTTGTTGTATCAAACATTAGTACGTAAGTATAGGTCATCAAAGCAAAGGCCATAGTTAACGTTAAAGGTTTACACAAAAAAAACCTAACATATAACATATACTTTCATAGGAAAGTTTGAATAATCCTCTGTCTGATCATTATTCTTGTGAGAAAACGATACTGATTATGATATATTGAATTATATCCTAAAGTCAACACCGGATTTATTTTTATTACATTTTATTCAGTTGTTGAACTGTACAGTCGTTAATAAATCTCAGATGAAATTTAGCAGACAATTATCATACATTGTAAAAATTTTAATAAATAATTATATTCAAAATAAGTGTTCTAGATGATGAATTCGATTGATGAGACATAGATTATTCCAAAAATTAATGAAGACTAATATATGAATATTCAATATCATTAACTGCCATGTTTCATGGTTATTTAATCGAAATAGTCAGTCGTGTTCCATCGTACTTTTCTTATCGAATGAATTGTAAGTTGTTATGAATCACAGCTTCTCATGGACTGGACTGATTCGATTTTACAATGAGCGCCCATGGACTATCCATGTCAAAAAAGACCGAAAAAAATCTGATTTTTATCAAATTTTTTGTTCCGATTAAAAATCGGTTTAAAGGGTGGTGTTTCAATTTGGTTTTAAGCAGATCATTTGATTTTTTTAATTGATTTAAATTGATTATATACTTCTTCATAGTTTTAATCGCAACGATTTTAAAACACGTTTTTCTCTTGTTTTAAGTTCGAAACTCAAATTTTGATTGGTTTCGCTCATACCTTGACTCAAAAAATGATAAGTATAATAATTGACTTATCTTTAGTACTCAAGTTACGTTTTCAAGATATGCATTTCAAGTTAAACTTATTTAAATGACACAAAATATCGATAAATAAGATTAGAATCAATTATTTTGTGTTTTAGTTAATTGAAATATGTTTTTCGATTTGATAGTCACATTCCATTATACATTGATCGATTTTTCATCAAAAAAAAATCAATCAAAATCAGATCTTTTTTTGTTTTTATCACATAGGTTACGAGCTTTAACCGATAGGTCAATGATAGTCTAGAAACAAAATCACGAATAAAACACAAAATTCTTTAGTAGCATCGCGTAGATCAATATAAAATTTCTTTCTTCGAAAAATTTCATTTGATCCTTTCGTTGATTCAAATATTTATGCAATGAACAGCAAGTAAATATACAAAAGAGAACAAAGAAAAAGGACAAAATTCCCGTAATATTTACATTGAAAAATTTTGTTTTTATTCAACAAAATGTCTTTATCTTGTTCACCTCTTTAACAAAGATAGTGTAGTTAAATCTATGCAATAAAAGAATGTTAATGATGATAAATAATCTTGACCAGAATAACAAATCAAACCATCTTTGGAAGAAATCTTTGCTAGATGGACGATCCATGGGCTTGGTTATTCTTGAAGGAAAAATCATTGGTGGACTAGGTTGAACTTCAGTATTCGTTAGATCAAATTTGATAGGTCCAGCCCAGTCTATTTGAAGCTGTTCTATGAACTATGAATTTAAATATCGCTATATTTTATATTCTGATTATATGATTGATTCAATGTAAGCTGTTCTTATAAATATTCCGTACATTCTATATTGGAAAGCAATTATGAATGATTCTTTAACCCTTTACTAATCACTCTTCTTGATTAGGATCTCGAAACATAGATCAAAATTGATAATAACTGATAGTTTCAGTCAGTCATGTGTAACTATGACATGCAATCAATAAAACATTTTCATTTGTGTCTAGTTAATCAGGTATTGTTATGTTTAATTCAATAGGGTACGATTATCAATAATGACAGGTAAAATAAATAAAAAAACAGACAATAATCAATTTGTGAAAATTGAAAAATAAATACTAGGTACAGTTTCCATCTTGTGACTCTTCTCAATCTAATGATATATAATTGAATAGAAGAATGCAAATGCAAACGTAAACAGGAAGAGCAAAGCTAATCTTTAAATTTTCTGCATCGATTAGACAGGACGAACAATATAAGCGAGAAAAAGCAGTAAGGATTAGTTGTTTTACTCCCACTGCTTTATAGTATTCTTGATAAAAAAAAAAAAAAAAACTTAAAACCTTTCTCATTCATGATAGTTCACTCATTTAGTTTGAATTTAATGTGAAGAAAGTTAGTTTAACATTTAAGATAGAGAATGAATTAAAAAATAAAATAATACCCTACATGTAACTAACAATATTTAATCTTTCATTTAAAAAAGAATAACAATATTCATGTCATCAAAGATCGATGTTGTACAAACAAAGAATAATACATCAAATGAAAGATATAAAACAGTTCTTTTTGACCAGTAATTAATAATTCAAGCATCTTTTTGTTTTGTTTATTTTTAAAAACAAAAATTGAGATACTTTTTATATGATCAAATAATTATTAGTTAAAAAGAATCAGCCATATCAATAATTTTCAAACTGTAATCTAAAGAAAATTTAACGTCTACATATTGAAAATATTACATCCTACTCCGAAATCGACCAATCCTAGATATAAGAAGAAATGTGACAATTTTATAAAAACAAAATAGCTACCTCTTAGGTATCATTTACAATGGTTACTCGACACTCAGCCCGAAACTTAGTTAAGGGCAAACAAAAACTTTCATTATTAAAAAAAATACAGCTTCAAATTACTTTGGATCCTATTCATTGTCTAGATTTAAATAATCATATCATGAGGTTGATTATACACGAGAAATCCGAAGCATGAAGCATTAATATAAATAAGAAATTAAAAAAACAGTTGGAAAATTTCAACTACCTGGCTTGTAAACAACATTGTTGGTTATTATACTTAACGGATTTTGCCTCAGGACATGTTCTAGATGATTTCTCAGTATTAAAGATCAACATAAACCGTATTTTCTCATATATTCATCCGATTACTTTATTACAAAATAAAAACTACATGAAAAGCAGTGTGAAAAAAAGGAACCAAGGACTATTTTGAGCAGTCTGCGATAAGTAGATGTCGCACATTGTTAAGCTCATCATTTCTAGATAAATAAAATAATTACAATTAGAATTTGACTACAAATAGATATTACAAATCAGATATTCTTTATAAAAATTAAAACATAAGATTTCATTTTAAAAATATATCCGTGCGCATCATATTTTGTTTAGTACGACAAACCAATCTTATTTCCTTGAAGAGAAAAGAGAGACAAGCATAATAAATAATAACTATGATTACATATATAAGAACGACGTCAATGTTATTGTCGCTTTATTATTTTTATTAACCGTTGTCACAAGAAAAGAAAAAAGAAACAGGAATGTTGTTTAAATATTCGTTGATTTTTATCAATTCAGTTAAAATAGATGGGTAATACATTAACACCAATACCAAGTACAGTTTCATTACCCATATTTGGGGTCGGTTTGACAACTCTTTGCTTAAGTTTATGTTTTTGCTGTTATTTATGGCGGTAAATTTTTGTTTTTTTCTCAAAAAAAATAAATAAAATTATATTTTTCCTTATTAGATTAAGACGAGATACACTTAAAGAAAAAGGTTATCGAAAAGATCAATATATGCGATGTAAAGTTAAAAATTCCGTAAGTTTTTATTCTATAAGAAAAAAAAAAAACAAAGACATTTCTTTTATTCTCTTCCTATTCAGAATTGTGTTATATGTTTGGATGATTTCTATGATGATGAAGAAATAGCTGTATGTCCGTGTGAGCATGCATTTCATAAACGTTGTCTATCGCCATGGTTACAACATAATTGTACATGTCCTATGTGTAATATGTGTATTAAACCGGAAACATCTGCTTCATGTCAATTACCCGATATAATTTAACATAGATCAATGTAATTAATCTCTTTTATTTTCTTCTTCTTTTGTTTTTTTAATATTTAGTCAGTTATATTCAGAAAAAAAATATTCTCCTGCTCTACATCTATAAATATCTTATTTTTATTAATTAGAATGAAGAATATCATATTTCTTTCTTTTGCCGTTTTAATGTTTGTTTTGTACATATATATATATATATATAAATATACCTTGAAATACAGTGCTCAAAATATTTTTGATGAAATAAACTTGTATTTAATCAATAATTTTCAATTTATAATCAGCAGATATTATTAATAGAAGAATAAATTGATTTTTTGTTTTTGTTTTCTTCAAAATAAACATGCTTATGATTGCATGTTATTCGTACTAATATTGTAAATACCTAGAGATTTTTTTGTTTTAAAGACACCTTTTTTTTTTTTGGTTAAAGGACAAAATGGATAGGGTGTTGTTGTTGATTAATTTTTTATCAGATTTGAGAAAATAATATCAAGATACTTGAGATCATGTTTTGTTTTTTGAAGAATCTTAATTGTAAAAATGCTATTATAATAAGAAAAAAAAAAAGTTTCTTGGCATGCTATATTATACT